AACAGCAAGACGTCCACTGACCACAGGGGTCAGGACTGGCCTCGGTCCTGCTCCCGCTATCCCTGAGCCAACAAGCAGCAGCCGAAGAGCAGTGTCCTGGGTGGGCACTGTGCCTACCTTGATCTGTCCAAAGCCGATGGTGACTGTAGCAGCAGAGGTGAAGCCTTTGATGACGGGGCAGGAAATGAAGTCCAGCAGGAACCCTGGCCGGCCAAGAGGGAACACCAAGCTGGTCCCAGCTCCACCCAGTCCCAGAGGATGAGGGGAGATGTGAGCTGGGGGAGGCGGCACGGGTGGGATTGGGGAGCAGATACTGCAGCTAAGGACTGGGGGTAACACACCCTGCTTGGCTGTTCTTGGAGAGCAGAAAAGGGAAACTGGGGTCTGAGGCCACAGGCACTTCTCCAAAGTGTCCTGGCCTCTAAGCAGAAAAGAGTAGACTAAAGGCCAAGCGTCCCACCCCCTCTACCACCCACCCACCTACACACCAAAACACACACCCACACCCACACCACACTCATACATACATACCCACACCCCCATGACACACACACACACACCCCCACACCCCAACACACACACACACACATACCCACACCCCCACGACTCTCACACACACACCCCCACACCCCGACACACACACACATATCCACACCCCCCACGACACACACACACATACCCACACCCCCACGACTCACACACACACACACCCCGACACACACACACACACACCCCCACACCCCCACGACACACACACACACACCCACACCCCCACGACTCACACACACACACACACACCCCCACGACACACATGGGGATAGACCTTGAAATGCAAACAAGGAAACGCTGAGGTCAAGGGCATCCCCTTGGCAAGAAGGTAGAGCCTCACCCAAATGCAGGACCCCCATGGCCAGCTGGATGCAGCCGGACAGGAAGGCCAGCAGCACAGCATAGGCAGGCTCGTGGAAGGTGTAGAAGGAGACCAGGAGGGACATAATGGCGGTGGGTCCCAGAGTCACATCCCGGGAGGTGCCCAGGAAGAAATAGACGAAACAGCCCACGAAGGCAGAGTAGAGGCCGTACTGTGGGGAGAGATGGCGGTGAGCACGCAGGAGGCCGAGGCCTGTCCACCAGGTCCCTAGTGTGTGTGTCCAAGCACGGGATCTGTGGGTGTCAGCTGTGTCCCGGGCACCCAAGCACGCACAGGTGAGAGGTGCACCGCCCTGCCCCGTGCGTGGACCTGCGGTGATCAGGAGGCCACTTCTTCAGCAGCACCCAACTGGGGGCTCAGGGTGCGGACAGCAAGGCAGAGGGGTTGGTGCAGGCCCGTGTGCTGTGTCCAACCCTGAGGAAACATTCTTTTTTTTTTTCCTGAGACAGGGTCTTGCTCTGTCACCCAGGTTGGAGTGCAGTGGCACGATCTCGGCTCACCGCAACCTCCGTCTCCCGGTTTCAAGCAATTCTCCTGCCTCAGCCTTCCCAGTAGCTGGGATTACAGGTGCCCGCCACTGCGCCTGGCTAATTTTTGTATTGTTAGTGGAGACAGGGTTTCACCATTTTGGTCAGCTGGTCTTGAACTCCTGAGGCCTCTGTGAGTCATCTCACTGGCCTCTTCATAACCAGCTCAGTGTCTGTGTGTGCCAAACAGGCATAGGAGCCTGGATCAGCCCAGAGACCGGCATGCGTCACACACTGTAAACCAAAGGTTCCTTGGCGCCCAGGGGCTGGAAACCCGGAATCTGCTGGCGTCTGGGATTGATACTGTGTATTCTGCTTCTGAGATGTGGCTGGCAGCAGGGTCAGACAGCTCACCTGGGGCGGGAGTCCAGCCACTTCAGCATAGGCCAGTGCCTGGGGAATGGCAGTGAGGCCAACTGAGAGACCGGCGATGAAATCCATCTTCAGCCACTGCAGGGAGTAGCTCGGCAGCCACGCCAGGATGGGCAGTCTCCTCTGCACGGCCGTAGGCGAGCAGCAGCAGGCGCTGGAGGCCATCCCGGGGCCGGAGGACCTGGCCTGACCCAGAGCCGTCACCGAAGAAGGCATCTGTACGGTAGGGCTGGGGGGTGCAGGTGACATAGACCAGCAGTGAGAGCGTGGCCTTTGAAGAACCCGGCAACACTGGTCAGGGTCGATGGGTGTCAGGAGGGGTCACTATGGGTCTCCCCTTCCCAGGGGGACTGAACCAGACGGCTCTGCGAGGAAGCCAACAACGTGCACAAGACTGGGACTGGGCCAAGACTGGAGGGCCCACCCCATCCCTCATCACTCTCTCTCCCTGAATCCCCCCGTGCAAATCCTGGGTGCCTTCTGTCCCTTCATCCTCAACTCTCCCAGATAAGAAACTGATAAGTGATTTCTTATTGAGAAGTCTGAAGACTAATTAAGCTCAATACTTCTGGCCCCTGGAGAACCGGCTTCCTTTGCCTTTTTTCCCCTCTCCCCAGGGAATTTAACGGGGAGAGAAGCAGGGCCCGCGGGCGCACCCTAGGCTGGCGGGGGGTGCGGGTGACAGCCGGGAGATCCGGAGGGGTTCCGAGGTTTTCCACCTGCGCACCAAGACGGGCTCCACCCACTACGGTGGACTGCGGCGCTCGTGGGGGGCTGGGGGGCGGTCCTCGGCTCCTGAGGCCAGGCCTCGCTCAGCCCCCACCTGTGGCTTTCAGAGTCCTGGAATTCTAGTTGCTTCTGTGAGGACATCAGAGGCGCCCGGTTAATTCAGGTGCGCAGCATCTTCCAGGGCCCCGGCGCCAGCGCACAGAGCTGCCACCCCCCCCCGCCACGCCCCCGGCCGCTCCGGGCAAAATCCACTGCCCAGCCCCCGGCCCCGCCCACGAGGCCGCTGGCTCCGGATCCTGGGGTCTCCGGAGGAGACCCCGCGCCACCTGACCATCCGCGGTCCCTTGGCCCCGAGCAAGGCCGAGGGCCGCGGCGACCCGGGTGGGGACGCGGCGGGGGAGTGGTCCCCACGAGAGGCCCCCGCACTTTCGGACTCCGCGCTGGCCCCCGCGTCGGCTGCCCCGGGCGACCCCGGCCACTGTCCGCACCCCCCGCCCCCGGTCCCCGCTCGCCGCCCTTGCGGGCCACGGACTCACCCACTCGGCGTTGCAGCTTGGGGGTCTCCTGGCGTCGCCGCAGCCGGGTCCGCAGGAATCGCCTGGGACAGGCCGGGGCGGGGTCTGGCGCGCTCGTGACCGGGGGCGGGGCGGGGGCGGGGCGGGGGCGGGGCGGGGGCGGAGCCGAGCGAGAGACCAGAGCCGGGGCGGGAGCGGGAGTCGGAGCCGGAGTCGCCGCCATGCGCCGGCCCGGGCCCGCCTGCTGCGCGCTGCTGCTAGTCCTGGGGCTCTGCCGGGCGCGCCCCCGGAACGCACTGCTGCTCCTCGGTGAGTGCCGGCGCCGCCCCCCCACGCCCACCTGCTGTGGCCCGCGGAAGTGGCCACTGGCCTCCTCCCCACCCGTGGTCAACGCTGACCCTAGTGTGCCCTGCCCTTGTATCCCCACTGCCATTCCCTCTCGTCCTCCTCTCTGTGTTGCCCCCAGACTCTTCATGGGTGTCTCCCCAGAGAGGGCAGCAAGGGCTGGAGGGGTGAGCCCCAGCATCCAGCACCCCTACATTTACCTCCTGCCGCTTGTCCCCACCCTCCTCTGACCCTGCCCAGCCAGGGCTCAGGGGTCCACGGATCCCAGATCGCTCTCGGGAGGGGATTCCAGAGGAGGGGCTGGTGCTCAGGTCCCCAGAGACTGCAGACAGGGTGCCCTCCTGGCTCTCATCTCCTCCCCGCTGCAATCTTTTCCGACCCCATAGGCTGTGGCTCAGCTGTCTTTTCCCTTGTCCCAAGGGCACAGCCCTCCACCACCCACCCACCGCCGTCTCCCCCAATCCCAGTCCCTCTCAGAAACCCCAGGTTCCTCCAGCGCAAGCACTGTGTTGCTCACAAGACTTCCGGTTTGGGTAATCAGGGCTCTGGCCCATGACAAGTGACGAGGCCAAACCCAAGGCCTGCGATTCTTTCCCCTTCTGAGGTCTGGCGCCCTGCCAGGTGCCCTCTTTCTGATTAATTTTGTGGTCTCTGGGCGGGAGTTCGGCTCACTGTAACATAAACAGCTCTCCTGCCAACTCCTCGCCTCCCAGAAACTCAGCAGAGAACCTGCATGGATCCTCATCTGTGTATGAGGATTCCTGCAGGAGGCTTTCAGAGCCCAGGCTATGCGGTCACTGGGCTAGGGCCGGTCTTAGCACGGACTGCCATGGATTGGCTTAAACAGAAATGTATTTCTCACAATTCTGTGGGCTGAAAATCCAAGGTCAGGGTGCCAGCTTGGTTGGGTTCCAGTGAGGGTCTGCTTTCGGCTTACAGGTGGTCACCCTCTCACTGTTTCCTCACATGACAAGTGGATGGGGGTGGTCTCACTTCCTTTTCCTTTCTTTTTTCTTTTCTTTTTTTTTTTTTTGTGAGACAGGGTCTCACTCTGTCACCCAGGATGGAGTGCAGTGGCACAATCACAGCTTACTACAGCCTCAACCTCCAGGCTCAAGTGATCCTCCTGCCTCAGCCTCCCAGGTAGCTGGGACCTCAGGTGCACATCACCATGCCCGGCTAATTTTTGTATTTTTTGTAGAGACAAGGTCTCACTGTATTGCCCAGGCTGGTCTCGAACTCCTGGGCTCAAGCGATCTTCCTGCTGCGGCCTCCAGGGTCCTGGGATTACAGGCATGAAACACTGCACCTGGCGCTCTCTTTATTTTCTTATAAGGCCGCAGTCCTGTCAGATCAGGGTCTCATCCTTATGAATCATTTAACCTTAATTAAGGACCCTGTCTCCAGATACAGTGATGTTGGCATCAGGGCTTCAGCGTATGAATTCCGGGAGGACACAGTTCAGTCCACAGCAGGCCCACAGCCAAGTGCCGAGCAACTCTGGGTTTGGAGAAGGGCAGCTTTCCTCTCGGCCTGTGGGTAGGGGGGTAGGGAGCACAGCCCATCCCCCTCTCCCTCCGGGTTTACCTGGCTGCCATGTGCTCACACCCCGTGGGGACTGTGGGGTGGGGTGGAGGACGGGAGCCCAGCTGGAAGGTGCCCAGCCTCCTCTGCCTGTGGACTGCACTGCCTCTGAGGGAACTGGGGAAAGTGTTGGTCCTGGAGGCTCCCACCAGCCTCTCCTGTGGTGCCCCCAGTGCCCTCTACTCCAGAGCAGGGGGAAGAAGCTTGGTGTGGTTGTGGGAGTTCAGCGGCCCATCCCTGTTTCCCGCTGCCCAGTGTGTGGCCTTGGGCACTGCACCTCACCTTTCTGGGCCTCAGCTGCTTTGTGGAGAGTGAAAGCGTTGAAATAGACAACCTGCAAGGTCACTGGGCCTTTGAGATGGCATCAGTGAGAAGCAGCGGTGGGACGCACACACATAGATCTTTAGACGTGCCCTGGGTGAGGCTCTCCTGCCCTCTGCCCCACGCAGTTTCTGCAGAGCCCAGAATTGCCCAGCAGTTCGGTGGCCATGCCCGGCTGTGGAATGCCCGGCTGTGGCCATGCATTCAGCCACTGTGGCCATGCACGGCTGTGGAATGCCCGGCTGTGGCCATGCATTCAGCCACTGTGGCCATGCACGGCTGTGGAATGCCCGGCTGTGGCTATGCATTCAGCCGCTGTCTGCCTAAATGCCTAGCCAGCTAACATGCCCACCCAGGTGGCATGCCTACTGGAGTATCATCAAGCTTGTTGGGATATCATGCCTGCATGAGTATCTTGCCTACTCGGGTACCATGCCTGCCTGCTAACATACCTACGCAGGTACCAGGCCTGCCTGGGTACCATGCCCATCTGCTTATACCCCCCAGCTGTCAGTTCAGCCTGTGTACCGTGCCCAACTGCCAACATACCCACTGGGTATCATGCCTGCTTAGGATATCATCAAGCTTATTGTGGTATGATGCCCACTTAAATACCATGCCTGCCTGCTAACATACCACCCAGGCATCATCCCTGCTGGATACCAGTCCACCTGCTAACATACTCACGGGGTATCAGGCTTGCCTGGGTACCATGCCTACCTGCTTATACCTACCATCAGTCCAGACTACAAACCACGCTCACCTGCTAACATACCCACTGGGTATCAGGCCTGCTGGGTACCATGCCCACCTGCTAACATACCCACCAGGTTTCATGCCTACTGGCCACCATGCCTGCTTGCTGATATACCCACCAGGTATTGTGCCCACTAGGTACCATGCCTTCTTGCTAACATACCCAGTGGGTATGGGGTCTTCTGGGTACATGCCTGCCTGCTAACATACCCACCAAGTATCAGACCTGCTAACATGCCCTCTGATATCATGCTTGCCTGATGTACCCACGCGGGTGTCATGCCTCCTAGGTAATGAAGTGCTCTGTCAGAATAGCGTTTCACGATGAGTGTTCACGCTGAGCCAGTACCATGCCCACCTGGGTATCTTGCCTCCTGGCATCACAGCCCCAGCCTCCCTCACTCCCAGTGCTGTTTCTCATGACCGCAGCCCACCATGTGCTCTCTGTGTCCCACCTCACGCAGCGGATGACGGAGGCTTTGAGAGTGGTGCGTACAACAACAGCGCCATCGCCACCCCGCACCTGGACGCCTTGGCCCGCCGCAGTCTCCTCTTCCGCAACGCCTTCACCTCGGTCAGCAGCTGCTCTCCCAGCCGCGCCAGCCTCCTCACTGGCCTGCCCCAGGTGAGGTGCAAGGGCAGGAGGAGGGGATGGGCAGGGAGTAGACAGGCTTGGTCCGGGGCCCAGGCCTCTGCCACGTCTCCCATCCCCGGGCTCCCTGGGGTGTTGCCCGCTTTCCCTCCCACCTCCAGGAGGAGGCAAGAACAGCCTACGGCCGTGAGTGCAGACTAGGGGCTCCAACTCACCTACCAGCCCTGGCTCCACTGCTGTGTGTGGCCTTGAGCAAGTAACCTACCTCCCTGTGCCTCAGTTTCCCCATCTGTAAGATGGTGGGTATAATGAGATGCCACTCTAGTTATGGGGATTGGCGGGGCTCATGCTTCGTATGTAAACAGCGTGAGGCCTGTGGACTGAGTCAGCGTGACCCGCCATCGCCACAGTGTCCCAGGAACGCCATGGTGCAGGGAGTGGCTGCCGCTGGGCACGCACGCTCCTGTTTTATTGTGGTAAATGCACAAACATCGATGTTCCCATCTTAGCCATTAGTTCCAGGGCATGAAGTGCATTCACGTTGTTGTGCAGCCATCACCACCATCCACTTCCAGAACTTTTCCATATTCCCAGACAGAAACTGTGTCCCATGAAACACCAGCTCCACGTTCTCCCTCCCTATCCCCTGTCTCTATGACTCTGACTGCTCCAGGGGCCACATAAGAGTGGAATCACATAGGACTAGTCTTTTTTTTTTTTTTTTTTTTGAGTTAGAGTCTCACTCTGTCACCCAGGCTGGATGACTGCGATCTCGGCTCACTGCAGCCTCTGCCTCCCAGGTTCCAGCAATTCTCCTGCCTTAGTCTCCCAAGTAGCTGGGATTACAGGTGCACACCACCACACCTGACTAATTTTTGTATTTTTAGTAGAGATGGGATTTCACCATGTTGGTCAGGCTGGTTTTGAACTCCTGACCTCAAATGATCTGCCTGCCTCGACCTCCCAAAGTGCTGGGATTACAGGTGTGAGCCACCGCGCCTGGCCCCCCTTTTGTGTCCTTACTTCACTCAGCACAATGTCCTCAGGGTTAACCATGCTGTAGCATGAGTCAGAACTTCCCTCCTCTTTAGGGCTGAATCATATTCCAGTGGATGGATGGACCCTGCATTTTGCTTCTCCATTTATCCGTCAGTGGGCACTTGGGTTGCTGCTACCCTTTGGCTGTTATGAATAAAGCTGCTGTGAACACGGGTGTTTGAGGACACTTACTGTTTTTTTGTTTGTTTGTTTGTCTGTTTGTTTGTTTTTTGAGATGGAGTCTCACTCTGTTGCCCAGGCTGGAGTGCACTGGTGCCATCTCAGCTCACTGCAACCTCCACCTCCCAGGTTCAAGCCATTCTCCTGCCTCAGCCTCCCGAGTAGCTGGGACTACAGGTGCCCACCACCACACCCAGCTAATTTTTGTATTTTTAGTAGAGACAAGGTTTCATCATGTTGGCCGGGCTGGTCTCGATCTCCTGACCTCGTGATCCACCCGCCTCAGCCTCCCAAAGTGCTGGGATTACAGGCGTGAGCCACTGTGCCTGGCCGGCAGTCTGAGTTTTTAAAATGTACAATATCTTTTACAATATAAAATAACTAGGTAATAAAACAAGGCCTGGCCCTGTCTTTTTCATTCTGTAACGTGTGATTGTAATAGAAAAGTTCAAAAATACAGACATGCGGAAAGAACATGAAGGCCGCCCTCGTGCCAGTGCATGCCCTCCAGGTCCTCTTCTTTCTTGCGAAGTCCTCCTTTCACAAGAGGGACCCAGGGCCTCTTGGGCAGGGAGTGGGAGGTGGAGCCAGTCTCTCTGGGTGCTGGCCACTCGAAGTCTAAATCAGGGCCCCGAGAAGGCCCCTGGGGATGGGAGGACCATGGGAGAACAGGTGCCGCAGGCGGGCCCTGGCTGCCTGGGGGCCCCGGATCTCATGCACCTTTGCTGGCAGCATCAGAATGGGATGTACGGGCTGCACCAGGATGTGCACCACTTCAACTCCTTCGACAAGGTGCGGAGCCTGCCACTGCTGCTAGGCCAAGCTGGCGTGCGCACAGGTGAGGACCCTGTGCCAAGGACAGAGCGTGGGGTGAGGCACCGAGGCCAGGCCAGAGCCCAGGAGGTTTGGCACCTTGTCCCCACGCACCCTCAGCCCCTGTGGCCTGCCCTTAGCTCTTGTCCCAAAAGACCTGGGCCTGGGTCTCCTGGCTGGGCTGTGAGTCCACGAGAACCCACAGTGCGCTTAGGGCTGAGGGGGGCGGAGAAGGGAGCAGAGGGGGTTGGGAGGCAGAAGGGACTCTGGACAGGCCTCTCTTCCCATCCAGGCATCATCGGGAAGAAGCACGTGGGGCCGGAGGCCGTGTACCCGTTTGACTTTGCTTACACGGAGGAGAACGGCTCCGTCCTCCAGGTGGGACGGAACATCACCAGAATTAAGCTGCTCGTCCGGAAATTCCTGCAGACTCAGGACGACCGGTAGGAGTTGGGGCCCCTGCCCCTTCCCCCTGGCGGCTGGTCCCAGAGCACAGCCTGGAGTCTTCAGGCGGGATGCATGGGCCCCCACGTGGCTGGAATGGGGGCGGGGAGAAGGTTCCAGGTACTCGAATTAGCCTGGTCAGAGGGAGAAGGGACCTGGGGAAACTGAGGCGGTGAGGGTTACAGGTTGACTTCCAGATACAGAGGAGGAGGCAGAGCCGAGGGGCTTCCTGTGCCAGGCGGCATTGGCCCCGCAGCCTTGGCAACGGGCCTCCTCCCGTGCAGGTCTTTCTTCCTCTACGTCGCCTTCCATGACCCCCACCGCTGCGGGCACTCCCAGCCCCAGTACGGAACCTTCTGTGAGAAGTTCGGCAACGGAGAGAGCGGCATGGGTCATATCCCAGACTGGACCCCCCAGGCCTATGACCCACTGGACGTGCTGGTAGGAGGGCCCCTCTCGCGTTTCAGGATGCCCGTCAGCCCTGGGTCGGGGACCTGGGCCTCCTGCGAGCTTGCAGCCTTGGCCCTAGATGATGAAGAGAGATGCGCTGACCAAACTGACCAAACTGGATTCAGGTTCCCATCCCTGGGACCACACAGAGAGAACCGTAGAGAGACGGGGTGGTCCCGAGTGAGGCTGTTCTGGGCTCATCCATTTGTAGGAGGCCCCAGGGAGAAGGCCGGATGCTGCTCCCCTAGTCCGTCTGTTCTAAGCCTGGCTCCCCACCGCCTGCCCCAGGTGCCTTACTTCGTCCCCGACACCCCGGCAGCCCGAGCCGACCTTGCCGCTCAGTACACCACCATCGGCCGCATGGACCAAGGTGGGCTTGCAGAATGGGGCACTGAGAGGGGTGCCACGGCCTGGGTCCCCAACCTGGGCCAGCGCCCTCTCAGTCAGATCACAGCAGGGTGTGGGTGAGGGTCCCAGTGTGGCAGGCCCTGTGCTGCAGCCGGCAGAGCCCACATTGAGAGGTGGGGCCTGTGGGTGGCATCAGGACCCACTCCGGGACTGCCCTGATATGGAACTGCTCCTGGGCTGGGGCCTTAGGGCGCCCCAGAGGTTGGGTGAGGACTTCAGATTCTTCCAGCCACAGGACCTGGGTCGGATTGGGGGTTTGGAGTTCCCTAGCGTATGCAGATGGAGAACTTGAGGTATGTGAGTTTTTGTGGTTGTCCGAAAAAGCCCCGTGAACCAGACGGCTTACAGCAACCAAAATTTGTCCTCTCACAGTTCTGAGGCCAGAAGTTTGAAATCAAGATGTCAGCAGGGTCACGCTCCCCTGAAGGTGTAGGGGACACTCTGCCTTTCCTCTTCCAGCTTCTGGGGGCTGCGCCAGTGCTCAGTGTTCCTGGGCTGGTGGTAACATCACCCCCATCCCCGCGTAAGCCTTCACACCGCCTTTTTTCCTGTGTCTCCTCTTCTGTCTGTGTCTCCGCTTCTTCTTCTTCTTCTTCTTCTTTTTTTTTTTTTTTCTGAGACCGAGTCTCGTTCTGTTGCCCAGGCTGGAGTGCAGTGGCACGATCTCGGCTCACTACAACCACCACCTCCCGGGTTCAAGCGATTCTTCTGTCTCAGCCTCCAGAGTAGCTGGGACTGCAGTCGCCCACCACCATGCCCAGCTAATTTTTATATTTTTAGTAGAGACAGGGTTTCACCACATTGGCTAAGCTGGTCTTGAACTCCTGACCTCGTGATCCACCTGCCTCAGCCTCCCAAAGTGCTGGGATTACAGGCGTGAGGCACCGCGCCCAGCCTGTTTCTGCTTCTTATAAGGACCCCGTCGGATTTAGGGCCTGCCTGAGTACTTCGGGATGATTTTGTCCCAGGATCTTTATCTGCAAAGTTCCCCTTTCCAAACAAGGCCCCCTTCACAGATGCCAGCACACATGTCTTTTGGGCTCGGGGATCACCGTTTAACCCACAACAGGAGGTCGGGACCTTTGCCATTGCCCTGTTGGTGCCGTTAATTCTTAGCGACCTGGGAAACAGTGGGTACAGAGGAAACCTTGTCTTCTGGCCCCTGCCCTATTTGCTCCATGGGACAGACGCGAGATTCCAGAGAACTCAGAAGCTGGCGGGCACCAGGGAGCAGCTGCCTGGGGGGTGACACAGAAGTGCCAAGGGATGACTGGAGTCCCTGGAGGCCTATTCGAGGCCTGCTCAGGCAATGGGAGCTGGGCAGAGCCGGGCAAGAGCCAGAGCTAGTGGGAAGAACTACGGGATGCTTTCAAATCCGGAAAGCGCAGAGCCCAGTGGCCGGATGAAGCAGCGGGTGGGTCTGCACACACCCCTGCCCCCGTGCGTGTCTGCAGCTGAGCTCTGCTTCCCGGCCCCTCACCGCAGGAGTTGGACTCGTGCTCCAGGAGCTGCGTGACGCGGGTGTCCTGAACGACACACTGGTGATCTTCACGTCCGACAACGGAATCCCCTTCCCCAGCGGCAGGACCAACCTGTACTGGCCGGGCACTGCTGAACCGTTACTGGTGTCATCCCCGGAGCACCCAAAACGCTGGGGCCAAGTCAGCGAGGCCTACGTGAGCCTCCTAGGTACGCCTGTCTGTCTCCATCAGGGAAGGGGTGGGCGTGGATCTGGGACGGGGCCACGACCTGTCAGATGCTGCTCCACACCCATCACCTAACGTGGCTCTCAGGTCATCTGGGTGAGGAAGGGACTGTCACTCCCCCTCTGCAGAGGAAAAGGATGAGGCTCAGAGAGGTGAAGTAAGCTGCTCAGGACTGCACAGCTGATAAGCACTAAGCTAGGATTCTCGCCTGGATCCCACTGCTTTCAAAACCATTGCCTTTTCTCACCTACCTCCGATGAGCTTCAGAAGCACCTGGAATGCTTGTTAATATCCAAACTGCAACCCCTAGAGTGTCCCATTCAGTAGATTTTGGCGGGCTCAAGCATTTGCATGTCTGACAAGTTCCCAGGTGATACCGATACTGTGGGCTTGGGGACCCCCGTTTGAGCATCTGTGCACCCCATCCTGCCTTCCTGGGGGACCCAAAGCACCTCATGACCCTGCTCATTTCTAAAAAGGCCTGGGACATCTAGTCCCATGTTATGGATGTGCAGACAAAGATAGGGGTGCAGGAAGACTTTGTGAGGGGCTTGGGGTGAGCCCCTTGGCACAGGGCAGAGGCTCACATGTCCTGCCCACGGCCTGGCAGAGCCTCCAGGTGGGGTGGGCCCGGGGCAGCAGCAAACTCAGGTTCCCTTTCCCTCCAAGCTCTTGCCCATATCTCTCTCTGGCTCCAGATTATGAGCCAGGAGCACTATGGCCACACCCACCACAGGGCTGGAGTAGACGAGCTGCTGAAAAATAGACTTCTTTTCTGGTCCATAGGATTTTAGAAGGATCCTAAATGTCACCGAATCAGGGCCTCTTGTTATACCATTCAAGGCACCATGGCCCAGAGAGATGACATGGCGGTGAGAGGTGCCCGACAAGGCACCTCCCGCTGCTGATTGGATTGGAGAAGGTAGCCGCCCTGAGTGGCATAGGTTCGGCCCTTCCAAGGGCAGTCCTGTGTGCTGAGGGCTCTGCTGCTCTGAGATGCCGCTTCCCTTCCAGACCTCACTCCCACCATCTTGGATTGGTTCTCCATCCCGTACCCCAGCTACACCATCTTTGGCTCGAAGACCATCCACCTCACTGGCCGGTCCCTCCTGCCAGCGCTGGAGGCCGAGCCCCTCTGGGCCACCGTCTTTGGCAGCCAGAGCCACCACGAGGTCACCATGTCCTACCCCATGCGCTCCGTGCAGCACCGGAACTTCCGCCTCGTGCACAACCTCAACTTCAAGATGCCCTTTCCCATCGACCAGGATTTCTACGTCTCACCCACCTTCCAGGACCTCCTGAACCACACCACAGCTGGCCAGCCCACAGGCTGGTACAAGGACCTCCATCATTACTACTACCGGGCGCGCTGGGAGCTCTACGACCAGAGCCAGGACCCCCACGAGACCCAGAACCTGGCCGCCAACCCGCGCTTTGCTCAGGTGCTGGAGATGCTTCAGGCCCAGCTGACCAAGTGGCAATGGGAGACCCACGACCCCTGGGTGTGTGCCCCCGACGGCGTCCTGGAGGAGAAGCTCTCTCCCCAGTGCCAGCCCCTCCACAACGAGCTGTGACCCTCCCAGGAGGCCTGTGCACACATCCCAGACATGTCCCTGTGGCCGGCCAGCCTGGGGAGCACTGACAACAGCGCTTCCGTCTACACTCCCGTCCAAGGAGGGTTCTTCTTTCCTGTGGGGTCACTCCTGCCAGTGCCTGGAGGGGGACCAGAGCATGTGCCCAGCCCCTCCACCACCAGGGACACTGCCGTCGTGGCAGACGACACGGCCGTCCTCATGTCTGAACCACTTCCCAGCACGGGAATTCTAGACGTGTGTGATCTGTGGACAGGGCAGCACCCCCAGCCCATGACAAGGGAGTCTTGTTTTCTGGCTTGGTTTGGGGACCTGCAAATGGGAGGCTTGAGGCCCCCTTTAGGCTTTGGCAGCCACAGATACTTATGAGCCCTTCACGGACAGCAGGCAAGGGCTTCGGTGCCGCGTGGGCAGTACACAGGTCCCGCCCACACTCACCTGGGCGCACAGCGCCTGGCTCTTACCAGCGTCTGGCCTAGAGGAAGCCTTTGAACAACCTTTGGGCAGGTTTCTGCTGCTTCTGTTTTGCCCCATGGTCAAGCACCTGGTCCCCAGGCAGGTTTCAGCTGATTGGCGGCAGGCTCCCTGAGTAATGAGCTTGAACCTGTGGTGCTTCTGGGCAGAAGCTTATATTTTTTTGAGAGTGTCCAAAGATGAAGGTATGGCAATGCCCGTCCTCTGACTTGGGTTAATTCTTGGGTGGCACTGGCATTGCTGGGTGGCGATGCCCATCCTCTGGCTTGGGTTAATTCTTGGGTGGCGTCGGCGTTGCTGGGAGACTGCGCCATTCCTGCCCTGCCTCCGCCCACCTCAGGAGCAGAAGCCCGGCCTGGACACCCCTCGAAGGAGAGGGCGCTTCCTTGAGTGGGTGGCTCCCCTCGCCCTTCTCTCCCCATCACTCCATACTGGGGTGGGCTGGAGGAAGCCATAGGCCAGCTATTGTAAAAGCTTTTTATTTTAGTAAAATATGCAGAAGTTCTTTTTCTGAACTCGTTTATGATGATTCCAACCTGAATTCTAGAACAGCTTCCTGATTCTTGGACACTGCTGTCAAAATGACCTTCAGTCTGCAACAGCCCGAGGAGGCGGAGGCAAGGCCAGGCGCTGGGAGACCTGGGTCCTCCCCGAGCCCTGAAGGTGCAGTGAAGATGTTTGGCCCAAGAAGGGCTAGGGTGCAAAGCCAGGTCGGGGAAAGGCAGAGTCTGCCGGACCTTGTACAGGGATACTGGTGCCAGGCTTCTCTGAGACACCCCCACCGAACGGGCATGGAGGCCACGGGGCACAGACCCACTGAAAGTACCATCTCCACCACCCAGAGGCTTTATTTACAAGTCAGCACACTGGTCTCTGTAAACTGGAGTTCCTGAGGCATCGCAGCCTCAGAAGCTGAGAAAAGGTGGCCAGGGTCACAGCATATGTGGGCTTGTGCCTCTGCCCCAGGCAAGGGTGGCAGCAACCTTGGGGGCCACCCAGACTCCCCACCCGCTGCCTCTGTGCTTTTGGAGTGAGCCTTTGACACTTCAGAATTGTAAAGGGAAATGCAGACCCCGCAGGTTTGAATCGGGCCTGCAGACAGGCGGTTCTCCAGAGAGGTCCGGGGCCTCCGGTTCCAGGGAAGGCGTGGGAAGACGTCCCTCCTGTCCCACTGCAGAAATGTTCTCAGGGTCTTCAGTCCAGACCATGCCGAGCCTGGTGAAAGGTGAAGATGTTTCCACAGAAAAGTGGCCTGCACGTGGTGAGGGTTCAAGGTTAGACCCCAGCCAGAGGGGACAGCAGGCCTCATGAGCCAAGAGCCCACAGCTGTGCCAGTAGGGTCTGGGCTCAGGAACAGGACCGCATTAACAGGCACGCAGAGGCCCCCACTGTCCCAGGGAGGGGCACGGTACATCATCGGGGGTTCCGCTCTGTCCACACCACCTTCTTCTGCTCGTCGGCGATGGCCTGGCGGACACAGCTGACTAGGCCGTCCAGGTCGCTCCAGCCGTCAGGAGCCAGGCTGCTGTATAGACAGGGTGCCTGGTCCAGGTGTCCCTCCTCCTGCCTGGCAGCCTCCAGGAGCTGCTCCTCTGAGGTGCCCAACCGCTGTAGGCCCTTCCTGCACAGGCCAGAGATGGGATGGGGCGGGCTCAGGGGAGAGCAAGGCGCCCAGGAGCCCCGGCTAGAGTAGTGATGACATGCACGCAAACACCCCTGAACACAGTGGCCTCGCTTAGAGGGGACCTTGTAAAGAAAACAGGCCCCAGGCCCCAGTGGTGGGAGGCAGGATGTCTAGAACACAGCCTTGGTTCCTGGGGTAGAAAGGGCACAGTGGCAGGACCTCTCGGTCTGTGCCCAGGAAACCAGTCACTTTTTTACTTTTTTTTTTCCGTCCTCAGCCAACAAGGATTAGATTGTGCTAGCCGAGCCCCAGTAAGTGCGGAGGCACCTGCCATGGGCTTCAGGGGAGCCCAGGAGCCACTTCAAAGCCCCTGCCCAACCCCCAGTGTGTACCTACTTGAGCTTCTTTGCCATCTTCTCGTTGACAGAGACGTGGATGACAATGGGGAAGATGTCCATCCTGTGCAGGGCGCAGACACTGTCCAGCCGGACGTCCAGGAGGGCGTGGGTATTCTTTGTGGGAGGGAGAGGGAGAAGTGAGTCAAGATCACGGGCCTCTGAGGAAGCAAAGGGAGCCCACGCCCAGGTCTGAAGGGCCCTCCAGACAGGCTGAGGGCAGGGCAGGAGCTGGGGAGAGCTGAATTTTGTAGAGAAGATGGGGGAAGAGAGCTTATCACTTTCTTTTCTCTTTTTTTTTTTTTGACGGAGTCTCGCTCTGTCTCCCAGGCTGGAGTGCAGTGGCGCGATCTCGGCTCACTGCAAGCTCTACCTCCCAGGTTCATGCCATTCTCCTGCCTCAGCCTCCCGAGTAGCTGGGACTACAGGCACCTGCCACCATGCCTGGCTAATTTTTTGTATTTTTAGTAGAGACAGGGTTTCATAGTGTTAGCCAGGATGGTCTCGATCTTGATCTCATGAGGTGATCCGCCCGCCTCAGCCTCCCAAAGTGCTGGGATTACAGGTGTGAGCCACTGCGCCCGGCCCACTTTTAATTTTTTTAGGTTTTAAATTTTTTGAGAGACGGGTGTCTCACTGTGTTGCTCAGGCTGGTCTCAAACTCCTGGGCTCAAGCAATCTTCCCGCCTAGGCCTCCCAAAGTGCAGGGATTACAGGCATGAGCCACTGTGCCCAGCCACTTTCTTCTCTTTATTTTTTAATTTTTTTTAGAGACAGGGGTCTCACTGTGTTGCTCAGGCTGGTCTTGAACTCCTGGGCTCAAGCGATCCTCTCACCTCGGCTTCCCAAAGTGCTGGGATGACAGGTGTGAGCCCCAGGCCCAGCTGAGTTTGCCACTTTCTAAATGAGGCTGCTTGCTGTGCAGTCTTAAGAGTTTCCATCCCTTTGATTTTTCACTGCGAAAATCTAGAAATTGTGAGCTCTGGGGACAGAGGCGAACTTGGCATGGAGCTCCGCCAACCCCTACAGGAGGCACCCTGATGCCAGACTCTGCTTCCCAGGCCCGTGCAGACACAAAGCTATGGTTCACGGGGAGCTGCTTTTCATGTGTGTGCATCTTCAAACATGGAGAGTGTCGTTATCTGAGATGTATTCATTCTCCAACAAGTATCTATTAAACATCCCCCAAGCTGAGAAAACATCCCCCAAGCTCAAGGAGCTGGGAGACCTCACCCATGGTCCCGTGGATCCTAACTGGCTGAGACGAGCTTTGGGCTCCTGCTGGGGTGTTGGGGCCAGAGGTCAGCGACAAGGTCACCCGGGTCCAGGTCGGTCCCTGCACCTTTATCTCATCCCACTCCTCTGCATTCCCGAAACCCTTCCCAGGACAGCTCCCCGCCCACCCCGCCGCTGCCCTCACCTTTTCCATGAGGGACTCCACAGCATGGCGGGTCACCCAGCAGCGGCCCCCAGACGCCTCTCCCTCCTGGACGATGTCCCCTCTCTGGCTCCAGGCCTCACACTCCTCCTGGCTCAAGTACTCTACAGGCGACATTGGACAGGGCCGTCATGCACCAGCTGCGTGGGGGTCCAGGGGAGCCCCATGGTAAACACCCCTGTCCCCGTGGACCCCGCCAGCCCTGGGAGAAGCTCTTCTTAGGGCATCCACTTGACAAACCTGACCCTGCACGCCCCCCCTGTGCCCTGCACACCCCTCTGTGCCCTGCACGCACCCCTCTGTGCCCTGCACGCCCCCCCTGTGCCCTGCACATCCCGCCCTGTGCCCTGCACGCCCTCCCGTGCCCTGCACATCCCACCCTGTGCCCTGCACGCCCCCCCTGTGCCCTGCACATCCCACCCTGTGCCCTGCATGCCCCGCCCTGTGCCCTGCACGCCCCCCTGTGCCCTGCATACCCCCCTCTGTGCCCTGCACGCCCCGCCCTGTGCCCTGCACGCCCCGCTCTGTGCCCTGCACGCCCTGCTCTGTGCCCTGCACGCCCCGCCCTGTGCCCTGCACACCCCGCTCTGTGCCCTGCACCTCCATCCTGAACTATCTGGACACAGCAGGTGAGTGTGGGAATGCACGTAGTGGGGGAGGGAAGGAGAGAGGGAAGGAGGAGAAAGAAAGGGGAGAAGGAAGGGAGGGGTGGAGGGAGGGGTAGAGGGATTCCCAGGCAACAGCATACCTGCCAGGCACTTCTTAAACCCTTGGAGGAGGCACAGCTTCTCACTCAGGATCTTCCCAACCACCCTGGGCACGAAGAGCACAGGCCGGGGCCGGGCGGGTCGATGGGGCCGCACCAGGGTGTAGGGCACCAGGGTGAAGCAGCTCTCGGCCCAGAAGCACGCGCTGGAGCCTGTGGAGGAGAGGATCCTGAGGGTGGGTGAGGCTGCGGCAGCCCCCGGCCAGCCCACCCTGCCCTGGGAGGCACTGGGTCTGCTTTGCTCACTGCAGCAGCCCCAGCACCTAGAATTCCAGGCGCACAGGCTCAGCGGACACAGGACTCGCTCCAAGTTCCACAGCCCCTGGCTGCACGTGGGTTACACAGCTTTGTGGCTCTCCAGGCACCGCTTTGCAGCCTGCAACTTAATCCTGTTTTCCTCTAGGCCCAAGGGATGATGGCGGAAGCCAGGATTTTCTTTCTTCCATAGGATCTGGGAGAGCGGCACCCTTCTCCTCACCCATCCTCCCAGGGCGCAGCGTCCCAGCCCTTCCTCTGTCCTGGGCCCCTGTACTCCTCTCCTGAACTTTTTTTTTTTTTCCTGAGACGGAGTTTTGCTCTTATCGCCCAGGCTGGAGTGCAGTGGCGCTATCTCGGCTCACTGCCACTTCTGCCTCCCGGGTTCAAGCGATTCTCCTGCCTCAGCCTCCCGAGTAGCTGGGACTACAGGTGTGAGCCACCACGCCCAGCCCCATGATTCTTGAAGAGCAGATCCTGGCCTAAATGAGTGGCATCCCCCGGCCCCAGCTGACCAACTAGCAGCAGCTCCGAAAGCCCCTCACCCGCTGGGAGCCAGCGGCCCCTGTGCCAGCTCACCAGGCCTCACCCTCCATCCTGCTGGGGTCCAGCTGGCCCCTGTCAAAGGACGAACACAGAGGGCTGGCCTTGGCTTTGTCCAGACTGACGATGCGGACCAGCTTCTGTGGTCCCCCAGAAGACAGCTGAAGGAGGGACGGAGAAGGGATGAGGAGAAGCTGTTGAAGCCACCAACACGGGCCCAACACCCCCGTCTTCACACCCCACCCCATCGGCAAATCCAGTGTGGTCTCTGCACTATGAGACTGTGCCCACTGAACAGCCAGGATGCCCAGGGCCCATGCCAGGGGGTGGGAGGGGGGAGGGGGTCCTCAGGTCAACAGCCACAAAGCAGGGCCCTACAGTGAGGGGCAGGCTGCAAAGGCAGGAGGAAGGGCAGAGGTCTCCCCAGTGCCCAGCCCTGCATCATTGGCTGGGACTGGCTGAGCACTGTCCCGTGGTTCTTAGCAACCGCACGGACAGGCAGGTGCTTAGCAACCTGCCAAGTGTCCCGTGTCTGGAGAGCACAAAGGTGTCTGATGCAGAGGAATGGGAATTCAGGGAGATGATTGGCACTGGGGTGACCTGGGAGTCATGCAGAGACTCAGATACTCTGAGAGCAGCATGAGGTGTGTCTACACTGTGCAAGAGCCTGTAGGCTGGGTGGGGGCTGCAGACCCTGCCCTGATTTGAAGGGGCCCAGAGGAGAGACAGGTGGGGTCACCCTCCTCCAATCAGCAGCCCACACTCTCCATACGGTGCCCCCTGCCTCCCTGCCAGCACTAAGCCCCTCTTCCAGCCCACCCCAGTGGGGGCCAGGCCCCTCCTGGAGCCTCACCTTGCGGGTGACGGCGCATTGCTGAGTCATGTCCTGGATGAGGGCTATGAGCTGCTGCTGAGCCCTGTGGAGAACAGGAGAGGCCCTGACCCAGCTGCCTCCTGCCAGGAGAGCGGGGCAGGGGAGAGCCAAGCAGGGGAGAGTGGGGGAGATGGCTGAGTGGGAGAGGAGGCCCTCTACCTAGAGGTCCACACACCCCTTTGCTGCAGGCCAGAGTGCTCCACCCTGGCGGCCATCCCAGTCTCCAGAGCTTTCTAAAGACTCCAGGGCCTCAGCCCATTTCTGGAGATGCTGATTGACTTGTCCTGGGGCGGGACCCAGGGGGTGCTGTTGAGCAGCCAGTGTACAGGGCCCCCCTCCAGAACCTCAGTATTCATGGTGGGTCTGTGACCTGCAGCCTGGAGTCACCGAGAGAGCTGTTAGAAATGCAGAGTGCCAGGCCTCTCCCCAGACCTTCTGGCTCCGATCCCCAGAGTGCTGAGCTCAACACCTGTGCTTTCTAGCACTGTGCGTTTCGTGCACTTGAACCTTGGAGCCTCCCATAGGCTGATCTAGAGCAATGGTTTTCAACGGAGCAAGGCAGGGGGCAGTGTCACTCCTCAGGGAGGGTGACCAGCTGTCCCAGCTTGCCCAGGACCGAGGGGCTTCCCTGCAAGTGGGGCTTTCAGTGCTAAGACCGAGACTGTCCTAGGAGAACCAGGGGACCCTTGGCAACATATGGAGACATTGCTGGTTGTCACAACTGGGGCATGGGAGTGCTCCTGGCATCCTGGGTAGGGAGGCCACGGATGCTACTCAACATCCTGCAGTGCCCAGGACGGCCCCACCACAAACAGAGATCCAGCCCCAAACGTCCGTGGTGCTAGAGCTGAGAAACCCAGATCTAGAATGTTCTAGAATGAACATTTCATTTGCAAGATATAAAGCATCCATCACAAAGAAACAACAGCTTCAGCAGTGATCTTGGCAGGCTTCCCTCCTTAGGGGGTCTCACCATGCCCACCCTCTATTGCTGGGCAGGAGGAGGAAGCCGAGGCAGGCTGGGTGCCGTTTCCCCGTGGGCCTCTCTGGGGACGCACGGAGCTCGCCGCAGCTGCTCACCCGGAGTAGTTGGGGATGGTGCCGTGCGCAGCAGCATCTTTCATGGTGTAAGGGTTCACGCGGTGGGCGTGCCAGCAGCTGCAGCCCTGGAACATGGTGTCGGTGACGTGGAGGACCTCGTTGCAATGCACTTGCAGCTCCCCCTTGGCCCTCCCCTCCATGGCCAGGTTGACCCGGATATAGAATGAGTCCCCCGAGGTCGCCACTTTGGCCTCCAGGTCCTGGAGTAGCCTCTTATAACCTGATAAAAGGGGACATGAGCCACAGATGAGCTGCGATTACGAGCCCACACGAGGAAGGTTGCAGAAAATTAAAGTAGGAGAGAAGGAAGGACCCTCCGCAGTCTCAGAAGCCGCTCTGGCACTGGAGTCAGTGGGTGGGAGGTTTCCAGCTGGCTTGGGAGCCTCCCGGGGACCTGGGGCTCAGCCTGGCTGATCCTCTCCTGGCTCTGGGGGGACCCTGACTGCTGGGCATGTAGAGCCACCAGGGACCTAAGAGTCCCGGAGACCGGCCAGGCAGCTGTGCACACGAGAGGAGTGGTATGCGTACCGTCCATGTTGACCTTCACAGACAGGCAGCAGAAGCCGTCCACCCTCCTGAGAAGCCCCACGGCCTGTTCCAGGGTCGTATCCTCCAGGACTGCCTTGAACAAGGGCTCTGAGGCTTCGTAATCAACCTGAGGGCAAGTTGAGAAGGTCAGTCTATTTCCCCAGGACGCTGAATCCAGCCAGGATGCAGAGGGCGCTGAGGGCACTGAGGCAAGGCGTGGGCCAGCCCTGGAGTAGGACCACTGCCTGCCAGCCTTGGCCAAAACAAAGCTGCACCACCAGAGCCTCTGTGGGGCCTTGAGACCTCTAGTGACGCATGCTACACATCGTCCTGGCCAGAGGGTCAACTGCCAACCCTTCCCCAACCCGTCCACTGTCGGGATTGCGGGTTCTTTGTGATAAGCATTTTCCTCTCTTGAAAAAAAGAAAAAGGAAAAAAAGAAAGGACCTTGGTTCTAGAACATTCAAGAACATTCTAGATAGGTAGATAGGGGTTTCTTTCTTTTTTTTTGAGACGGAGTCTCGCTCTCTCGCCCAGGCTGGAGTGCAGTGGCGCCATCTCCACTCACTGCAAGGTCCGCCTCCCAGGTTCACGCCATTCTCCTGCCTCAGCCTTCCAAGTAGCTGGGACTACAGGTGCCCGCCACCACGCCTGGCTAATTTTTGTATTTTTAGTAGAGACGGGGTTTCACCGTGTTAGCCAGGATGGTCTCGATCTCCTGATCTCGTGATCTGCCCGTCTCGGTCCCCCAGAGTGCTGGGATTACAGGCGTGAGCCACCGTGCCCAGCCGATAGGGGTTTCTTAGCTTTGGGATCATTCTATACTGCTGTGGGCTGTCCCGGGCCCTATAGGATGCAGAGTGGCATCCGGCCTTCACCCACCCGATGCCCTGGCTTTCCACCCACAGCCTTCCCCACTGTGAAGGCCCACCCCGCAGGGCTTCCACCATCCACTTCATTTCTTCTCAATATTGTTCTAAGCTTAGGAGAGTAGATATTTTTACGATACAAAATTAAGATGTGTTTTAACATCATTAGAATTGAATTGGCCCCCTTAGGATATCGGGACTGTCTCCCTGAACACCGTCAAGGGACTCTGTTGCTTGAACTGCCTCAGAGCTGATCATTGGGAACCTTAAGAGCAGGGTTTCCCTGCCCCTGGGCCACAGACTGGTCCTGGTCCATGGTCTGTTAGGACCCGGGCCACACAGCAGGAGGGGCGTGGTGGGCGAGTGAGCATTACGGCCTCAGCTCCGCCTCCCGTCAGCTCAGCGCAGGAGGGGCGTGGTGGGCGAGTGAGCATTACGGCCTCAGTTCCGCCTCCCGTCAGCTCAGCGCAGGAGGGGCGTGGTGGGCGAGTGAGCATTACGGCCTCAGTTCCGCCTCCCGTCAGCTCAGCGCAGGAGGGGCGTGGTGGGCGAGTGAGCATTACGGCCTCAGCTCCGCCTCCTGTCAGCTCGGCACAGCAGTAGATTCTCACAGGAGCGTGAGCCCTGCTGTGAACTGCACGTGCGCGGGATCTGGGTTTCACGCTCTGTATGAGAATCTAATGCCTGATGATCCGTCACTGTCTCCCATCACCCCCAAATGGGACCGTCTTGTTGCAGGAAAACAAGCTCAGGGCTCCCACTGATTCTGAATTATGGTTCAGGGTATAATTATTTCATTGCATGTTACAGTGTAACAAGAATAGAAAAGTGTACAATCAATGTAACGTGCTTGAATCATCCCAAAACCATCCCCCGCAACCTGGTCTGTGGAAAAGTTGTCTTCCATGAAGCCAGTCCCTGGTGCCAAAAAGTTTGGGGACTGCCGCTTAAGAGGACAATTAGAAATGTAAAGAAGGGCTGGGCATGGTGGCTGATGCCTATAATCCCAGCACTTTGGGAGGCCGAGGTGGGTGGATCACTCGAGGTCAGGAGTTCGAGATCAGCCTGGCCAACATGGTGAAACCCTGTCTCTACTAAAAACACACACACGCACAAATTAGCCGGGTGCAGTGGCGGGCGCCTATAGTCCCAGCTACTCAGGAGGCTGAGGCAGGATAATGGCGTGAACCCCAGAGGCGGAGCTTGCAGTGAGCGGAGATTGTGCCATTGCACTCCAGCCTGGGCAACAGAGCAAGACTCCCATCTCAAAAAAAAAAAAAAAAGAAGAGAAGAAAAGAAATGCCCCAGTGGTTAAAATAGTGAATTATATGTCATGTGTATTTGAAATGCCCCAATGGTTAAAATAGTGAATTATATGTCACGTGTATTTTACTGCACACACCCAAGTGACCACCACCAGCCCTGTCAAAGGGCCTCATGCAAAGACCCCTGGTCAGAAGTGCCGCATGGCAGCAGCCACCGCGGGTGGTGTGCTGGGTTCCCCACGGCATGACTCTCATTTATAAATGAGCGGAACGCTTTACATCAGCCCAGGAAAGAGCAGGGGCCTAGCCCGGAGTGGATCTGCATGGTCTGGGGGATCTGAAGTCTGTCTGGGTCACCCCATCCACTGCCGCTGCCCCCATGAAGAGCCCGGGGGACAGGAGGGACCTCGCGCGACTCACCATCACGATCTGGGTGCCCGGGCGCAAGGCCATCTGATCCGCCGCCGAGCCCGGGGTGACCCGGTGGATGAAGATGCCTGTGAGGTTCCCGCCGATGACGCCGATCTGCTCCAGCAACGCATCCCCCTGGAACGCCAGCACCGTGACCTGGCTCAGGATCCTGCGGGCTGGCCTCCGCCGCATGAGGACGCTGCTGCAGGCCGGGAGACCACCGGCTTGTGCACTGCCCAGAGTAGGAGAGCCGGCAAGGCCACCTCCCCATTGCTTCCCTCTGGCCCCAGTGTTCTGGAATTCTCCTCCCCCTCCATGGCCCCATGTGCTTCACCTCTCAGTGGTGATAGGACACTCACCCTCTGCTCTGCCACCCCAGGCCCTGGTTCCCCAGCCAGCCTCGGAGGGTTCCCCCCTGCTGCTCACCTCTCCGAGACATCAAGGCTTCCAGGTGAGAATGGCTGCAGGCTGCTTTCCAGCTGGGGAAGGTCTGGGAGGAAGCCAAGAGCTCACAGATCTTGGTCACCCCATTGCTGATGGGGCTTCCTGTAACCTCAGCCCCTTCTCCCTCAGCCTCAGGCACCCCCTGCCTGTTCCATCCTCTGTGCTGAGGCTGAACTTTCTCTTCCTCCACCCCTTCCTCAATGCTTGGACGCTGATTTCATCTTTCCTAAAATCACTGTAACTAGTGAGGAGCTGCAACTGGGAAGGTCTGAGCACCACATGCTATTTTGTGATATTTGAATGAGTTGCCAACATTTGAAAGACAGGAAGATTTCACCTAAAATCTGGATTTCTGGCTTCACTTGAAAAAATATCTGCTGCATTTCTGCACTGACCTGTATTTCTGCGTGGACCTGCATTTCAGGACTGGCCTGCATTACTGCACTGACCTCCATGTCTGCATGGGCCTGCACTGGCCTGCCTTTCTTTCTTTTTTTTTGAGACAGAGTCTCGCTCTGTCCCCCAGGCTGGAGAACAGCGGCGTGATCTCGGCTCACTGCAACCTCCACCTCCCGGGTTCAAGCAATTCTTCTGCCTCAGCCTCCTGAGTAGCTGGGACTACAGGCATGCACCACCACACCCGAATAATTTTCGTATTTTTAGTAGAGACAGGATTTCACCATGTTGACCAGGCTGGTCTTGAACTCCTGACCTCGTGATCCACCTGCTTTGGCCTCCCAAAGTGCTGGGATTACAGGTGGGAGCCACTGCGCCCAGCCCTGGCCTGCCTTTCTACATGGATCTGCATTTCTTTTGTTGTTGTTAGTGTTGTTGAGACGGAGTCTTGCTCTGTTGCCAGGCTGGAGTGTAGTGGCGCGATCTTGGCTCACTACAACCTCCACCTCCCAGGTTCGAGTGATTCTCCTGCCTCGGCCTCCCGAGTAGCTGGAACTACGGGTGTGCACCACCACTCCCAGGTAACTTTTGTATTTTTAGTAGAGACGAGGTTTCACCGTGTTGGCCAGGATGGTCTCGATCTCTTGACCTCGTGATCCACCCACCTCGGCCTCCCAAACATGAACTTGCATTTCTACGCAGACCTGCACTACTGTACTTCCCTGCATTTCCACGATGACCTGCATTTCTGTGGGGCAGCAATGACTGGCACTGGCCAGCGGCTGCCTGCTCCTTACCCCAGACCCCTCTGCTTCCCAGCTGGTCGTGGCAGGTCTCTGAGTTGTCAATCCTAGGACTAGAGGCTCCCCAGGGTCTCCCAAGCTCTAGCATTTTCCTGTACAGCCTGTGAGCACCCGAGCCAGGGAGCAGCCTGCCAGGGTCCACGGCTGCAAGTCTCACTCTGTGAACCACACAGGAGAACCAGGGCCAGCACAGACCTAAGAGTTCCCTAGGCCTGGCTCACAGGCAAAAACCCACTGGGATCACATTCAAAGCCAATGAAATGAGGTGTGTACTCTGGATGTATTTGAGGTCAATTCCACTAAAAGTATATGCAACCAGGGCATTGCGCAGAATCCTCACAGAGGAAAAATACAGACAAATAAGCTCTCCCTTCTCATCTCACATCTAATTTAGATATGCCTTGGGTGGACTCTGTCAATTTATCGCTGTTATACATAAAAACCTGTATGAGTCCCCAGAGATGACGGTTTCTGGTCGTGCGACCCACAGGAGGCACCTGGGCAGCGCGGGGCACTTGCGCCCCCTGGTGGCCATGAGGTGAATTCCAGATGGGGAGCAAAGCACCTACTGTGTGCAAGGCCAAAGGCTGGGCGCCAGTTGCGCTGAGGTGGAAAGGCGAAGGCACCCATCTGTGATGGGCCCATGGACTTTGGAAGGAGAGAGGGCTGGTCCAATCACAAACAGAAATGAGCCACAAGAGAAGCACGAGGCCTTAGAGCCACCGCCTGAGAGGAGAGATGCTCCCTTCAGGTAGATGTCACGCTGTGCCTGGCCTCAGCCTGGCACCACTAAGCGACCCTGCCTGCTGCCGTCTGAAACCACTGGGAAGCCCAAGCGTTGCAGATCAGAGCAGGGGGCTGGGTGCTGAGCGGGGCGTGGATCAAACACAACTTCCCTGGCTCTAGGGGAAAACACAAGGACGCCAGCAAACAGAGCGCAGCTGGCCTTTGGCTTATGCTGGCTGGCAGGCGGGACTTTCCCAAAGTGCAAGGTCGAGGCCAAGGTCAAGGCCCAGGGCAGAAGCTGAGCTCTGCTTCTATCTGCCCTTTCCCTGGAGAGAGGCCCCGGCCTTCTCATCAGCTCCCTGCTCTGCCCAAGGGAGGTGGGCTGCTGTGAAGGTTCAGGGTTGGGCACGCTCACCTGCCCTGTCTAGGAGCTCATCATCCAGGTGTGGGTCGCCCACCTTAGCTCCCGGCGGGGCTCCTGGGTCTCCCTCCAGGATTTCCAGGCAGCTGCTGCAAAGCACAAGCAGCAGCAGGCTCAAACTACATGACCTGCTCCCCCTGAGGCCCCACGCCCCAAGCACTGGCCCCCAGCACCTGCCAGCTCCGGGGCTTTGAGGGCAGGAGCTGCTGCCTGCAACACCCAGATGCCCTGAGGTCTAGGTTGGTGTCTCTGGTGAGTTGCCAGGAAGGACCCCAGTGCCACACGTGCTCTACCTGAAAGACCAGCGTTCTTCCCCAAAGTCCTCGGCCACCCGCTTGTACAGGGACTGCTGGCTGGGGGGCGCGGGGCTGCTGGAGCGGAAGCTGTCCGCCAGCTCGCGGCTGGATGTGTTGCTCAGGTCCGACCAGAGCTGAGACTGGAGGAGGGAGAGCAGAGGTCAGTGGGGCACGCACGAGGACACCCCGAGACTCCTCCCTTGCTCCCCCACGGTGTAGAGAGAGTGAGCCACAGTGAGAACTGAGTGGAGAGGAGGCAGCAGGAGGGGAAGGAAATGTGACCCCATGTGACATGGGGTCACGTGCACTGAGCACCTGCTGTATGTCAGACACTGGGGTCACATGCACTGAGTGCCTGCTGTATGCCAGACACTGGGGTCACATGCACTGAGCGCCTGCTGTATGCCAGACACTGGGGTCACATGCAGTGAGCGCCTGCTGTATGTCCGGCACTCTATTAGCTGCTTGGCTTAGTTCTCAGGATAAATCTGTAAGGTGGCGCTGCTGTCCCATTTGACATGTAAAGTGATGTAGTTTGGCCATGTGTTCCCACCCAAATCTCACCTTGAATTGTAATAATTCCCTCATGTCAAGGGTGGAACCAGGTGGAGATAACTGAATCATGGGGTCCGGTTCTCCCATGTCGTTCTCGTGATAGTGAGTGAGTTCTCACAAGATCTGATGGTTTTATAAAGGGCTTCCCCCTTTGCTGAGCACTCATTCTCTCTCCTGCCGCTCTGCGAAGAGGTGCCTTCTGCCGTGATTGTAAGTTTCCTGAGGCCTCTCCAGTCATGCTGAACTGTGAGTCAATTAAACTTCTTTCTTTATAAATTACCCAATCTCGGGTATGTCTTTACTATCAGCATGAGAACAAACTAATGCACAAAGCAACTGAGGCCCAGAGAGGTTGAGTTAGCAGCTAGGGAGGGCAGGCTGCATTCAGAATGCACACTGACGAATGTGACATGCGAGGCACTGAGGCCACCAGGTGTGTGGGGTAGGTCTGAATCCAGCCCCTTCTTTCACTAATAAGTATTCCTGGAGCAGCTACTATGTACCAGGTCCTTTGATGGTGTCAGATATACAACTGAGGACAGGCACCATCCTTGGTGTGGGGGAACCAATGGGCACCCATGGACCAGTGAGGTGGAGTGAGGCATTCCAGGGCTGTGGGCAACATGGGCAGGGCAGGGAGGCCAGGGTGGACTCTTTGGAGAAAGTGGCACAGAGGAGTGAGGTGGAGTGTGTGTGTTGGGGGCACATTCCAGACAGAGAGAGCAACAGAGCAGTGGCACACAGAGAGCCCAGGCTGTAGAAGGCAGTGCCCCTAGAGCGGCCAGATTAGAAAGCCGGGGCAGGAGCAGCGTGGCTGGAGGGGAGCTGATTGGTCAGTCGCCCACGAGGTCGGTGAATGGGGACGGTGTGTCCTGGTGAGCAGAGCTGCTGGGAGCCAGTTCTGAGCACCTGAGGTCCCTTCCCTTCCCTCCCCGACCCGACCCACCCCCAGGGAAGGGAAACATGGCTGGACTCTGTCCTGTGGGGAATGGGGGGCACGGGGGGCATTAAGGCAGATGCGAGAGTCGATTCAGTTGAGGGTTTGGACTGCTCTGGCCCAGGGAGTCCCAGCACCGACAGGGACATCTTCCCCTTGTGTGCACTCAGTGTTCTGGGGAAGATCCCGGCCTCCCCCGACTCTTTGAGTGGCCAGGGGGCAAGTGAGCCTGGGCCTGATGCTCTTGGGGTGCTGCTGGGATGGTCCAGGAAGGAAACACCAGGTCCACCCCAAGGCATGGCAAAGGGATGTCAGGCTCACCTGCTTCTCACTCTCCCTCCCTCCTGGCTCCCGGCATCCTGCGGCACTGGGGCTTTGACCCTGGCATCCTCATGCCACATGCCCACTGTGGTGGGACCACCTCATTACTTTGCCAAAGGGTGAGGGCAGATGCCAGGGACCCGAGGCTCCAGAAACCACAGTGAGGCTGGCATCCTGGGAACTGTCTGTACCAGGTTGAATTGGGTCCCCTGGAAACTCATGTCCGGGGACCATCTGTGCCAGGTTGAATTGGGTCCCTTGGAAACTCATGTCTGGGAACTGTCTGTGCCAGGTTAAATCGGGTCCCCTGGAAATTCATGTCTGGGGACCGGCTGTACCAGGTTGAATCGGGTTCCCTGGAAACTCATGTCCACCCTGCAAATTGTGAAAGTGACGACCTTTGGGAACAGGATTTTCAGACAGGTACCCTGTCAGCACTTTGACTTTGGACTTCTGGCCTCCAGGACTGTGACAGAATCAACCTCTGATGTTTAAAAGTCTCGCAATAGGGCCAGGTGCAGTGGCTCATGCCTGTAATCTCAGCACTTTGGGAGGCTGAAGCCGGCAGATCATTTGAGGTCAGGAGTTCAAGACCAGCCTGGCCAATATGTTGAAACCCCATCTCTACTAAAAATACAAAAATTAGCTGGACATGGTGGCGGGCGTCTGTAATCCCAGCTACTTGGGTGGCTGAGGCAAGAGAAACGCTTGAACCTGGGAGGTGGTGGTTGCAGTGAGCCGAAATCACATCACTGCACTCCAGCCTGGGTGACAGGGCAGACTCTGTCTCAAAAAATGAAATAAACTCTCACAATCGCACCAACCTCTTCCCTGTGGGGACAGGGTGGAAGGAGGCCCACTTTTGTCCTGACAGAGGAGCCCCTGGGCTGGCCCAGAGGGTCAAAGCAGTGAGGGAGGTGGGAGGAACGGCCGTACCTCCGTGGAGCTGACGAGGCTGCCATTGCTGTCGCCTCTGGGGCGGATGGCGTGCATCCGCACCAGCCGCTGCTTCTCTCGTGGACAGGGCTCCCTGGTCCTGGCTTCCTGCTTGAGCTGCCAAAGACAGGCCAAACAGGCTGGTTAATTCAGGAAAGGCTCCCGTTCGAGGCCCAGGGGGTTTCTACCAGGTCAGCACTACCCGTTCCACCCTCCCCAGCAGTTTCCTCTCGTCAGCTTCCAGAGAAAACAATCATGTCCCTGTCCTCTGAGCCCGGGACCCCAGCGCCACAGGATCACAGGCGCTGCCAATCAACAAGACTGAAAGAAACCAGTTGGACACACAGCATTTCATTTCGTTTAGAATATGTGTGATTTACCAGTTCTCCGAATAATATATAATACACACGCACACACACACACACACACACACACACACAGAGAAAGAGAAAATTGGAGGTAGGGAAGCAGAACCAGTTACAGAAGAAAATAAAATCCACCCGTCATCTCACACTCAGAACGAGCACAGCCTGCGCGCTGGCGCCTGCCCCAGGGTGTTTCTCTGCGTGCACACGTGTGTTTTCACCATCGATGTGGGACGCTGGCCGTGTAGGGGTGAGGCAGGAAGGGCTGGGTGGATTCTGCATGCGGAGGGAGAAGCTCCTGTGCCTCCCTGGGGGCTGGAGCTGGAGCTGCCTGCCAGCCCAGAGCGGAGGCTTTCTAAGAATCCCGGCTGTCTGGGAACATGCTCCCTCTGTTACATGCAGGTCTGTCTTTCCGCTCTCAGACGCTGGGCTTTTAAGCATTTCAGGAACACAGCATCTACACTGCAAATGGCTGCCTGTGGACAGCTTCCAACGCCGCCTGCCACATCCATCACCACACTCGACAGGTTCCAGAACCTTCCGCTAAGCTCCCCGTTCTATGATACGGAAGCAGACTCTACTTGTCTACCGGGCACCTTCAAGGTTGCACGGCACCATTCACGCATGGGAGCCGGTGTGTCGGTCAACACAGTGACACTGGGCCATCTCTGCAGGTGCAGCGTGTGGCCCAGCCTGGGACCCTGCCTGTCCTCCCGGTGCCTCCCTGGGCCACCCTGGGGCCCAGCTCTGTCCCGCTGTCCCCGCAGCCCCTGCCTGGCCTCCAGCTCGGGTCAGCCGGGAGCACTCACCACACCCGGAGGCTCTGCCTGCAGCTGGCGGAGCTGTGTGCGCAGCCCACAGACCTGGTCCGTCAGCTCGAACACCTGCCTGCGGAGGGAGTCCTTCTCCACCAGGCTCTGCGAAATCTCTCTCTGAGCACTGTCCCTTGCGGAGTATGCCTGTGGGCCAAGACGGGAGTAAGGAGGCCAAGCCATCACCACGGGGGAGCCTCAGCTAGAGAAGGAGAGCCCTGTTTCTAGCCCGTGCTCATCTGAATCCACTAAATGGCCCACGCTGAGCTGTGCAAACTTAGGATTCATTTCAATTCATGTTCACGTGTGCAGTTTCAACAAAACCCAATATTTGGGGTGCACTTTCTCAGGGTCATGTGCCAAGAATAAAAGCAAGAAGGACGATAGAGACAGCGTATGGACAATAGGCATGGGGGAGTGAGGAAACGTCATGTGGACCAAGGAAAGAGACCCTGAAATCTGGGACCAGCTGCCATCGAGGACAGGGAGCTATGAGACGGTCCCCGGAACCAGCCCTCACCTGGGGAAGCAAGCACTGGGTGGCGGGGTGGGCCTGGCCTCTTAGGTACCTGGTCTCGCTCCTTCTGCAGCTCGCACACCTGGGCCTGCAGCGCGTTCACCTTCTCCCTGTAGAGCTGGCAGGCCATCTTACTCTTCTGGAACTGCAGCAGGGTCTGTTCCTTCTCTTCCCAGTACTGGACAGAGAGGGACACATGGCCTGTGGAGCTCAGCAGCTCTGAGGGTCTGGGCTGAGGAGGGGGTCGGGGAGCCCAGGGGTGGAGGGAGGGAGGTAGTTCTAGGGATGAAATAAGGTCAATTCTCACTCGTCTCTCTTTTTTTTTTTTTTTTTTTTGAGACGGAGACTTGCTGCAATGCCAAGGCTAGAGTGCAGCAGCACGATCTCAGCTCACTGCAACCTCTGCTTCCACGGTTCAAGCGATTCTCATACCTCTGCCTCCCTAGTAGCTGGGATTACAGGCACACACCACCAGGCCCTCTACTAAAAAAAATACAGCTAATTTTTGTATTTTTAGTAGAGACAGGGTTTCACTATATTGGCCAGGCTGGTCTCGAACCCCTGGCCTCAAGTGATCTGCCTGCCTCGGCCTCCCAAAGTGCTGATTATACGCATGGGCCACCGTGCCTGGCCTCACTCGTCTCTTAAGTGCTAGATTTCGAGGCACATCAAGACAGTTGCTTAGGCTGTTTATATCTGAATTAAAAAACAATGAGTGGATGTTACATGCATAGTTGTGTTTTGCTTTTTTAATGTCCCCAAAAAAATTCCCCCTCCCTGTCCTCTTCTCTTCCACCGTTTCCTTTCCTCCCCGTTCCCTCCTCACCGAAGTCCCTGGCTCTCCCTGGGGCCCCGGGCCCTGAAATCCCCTGTGTTTGAATCACGCGTCTGCCTGACCATGGTCTTAGCTGTGGGGTGTGAGTCGGAGCTCAGGGTGGCGCTGACAAAGCAGGCCGACCGTTTCGTTCAGCAAAATTATGTGAGCTCGGTGTGGATGAGGGAATCTGGCTTCCCCACGGACCTGTCCGCGCCCCCGAGACCAGCCCCAGGAGGGTCACAGGAGAGGAAGGGGTCACACGGCACCTGCTCTCGCTGCCTCTCAGCGGCCACGGCCCGCTCCCGCAGTGAGTGGATGCGCTCCACCAGCTCCTGTCGGCTCCCCCGCGCCTCGTCCAGGCTCTGCTCCAGAATGTCCTTCTCCGCCTGGGGCAGAGAGAGGTCATTTTGGGGTGCTGGTTTCCCCAGAGGCCTGCCCTAGGCAAGCAGAATCCCAAGGAGACAGCAGCAACTTCACGGTCAGGTGTGTGGACGGACGCAGTCTTACTGCCGTACACTGGGCGGGGAGAAGCCACGGAAGAGCCACCCACCACGCCTGGAAAACGTGCACATTCACGTCCAAGGAGAAAGGAACGCAGGAAGCTGGCGACCTCTCAGGACACCGATTCCTCCCTTTACCAGGTCAGCCTTCTCCTTCAGCAGATCTCCCGGCAGTTCCGCGGCGAGGGAGAAACCAGCAGACGGGTTGTTCCCTCTGACACTCACTTCCCAGGAAGCAGCTAATAAACAGGGACACAATCCAGGCTGCAGGAGGGCCGGTGCCCCAGGCCCAGTGAATGCTTGTGGAAGGAATATCTCAATACTAATCTACTGAGAGGGGCGAGGAGGAGAAGCCGAGGGTCATTGCTCACTCACTGCTCTGCTTCAGAGCCGCCCTCTCTCCCGTGCACATGAGGCCCAGAGGACGGAATCTTTCCAGGCAGAAAGGTTTCTTTCTCCCCATCCTTAACACGAATCCCATGTTTTACAATTGGCCAAGTCCCCTCCAAAACACAGTGGCTGCAGTAAACCCACCGAGCGGGGCATTGTGATGCACCTCCAGCGGCTTTCGTTTTCATTTGTTTGAAACAGGGTCTCCCTCTGTCGCCTAGGCTGGAGTGCAGTGCCGTGATCTCAGCTCCCTGCAGCCTGAAACTATCAGGGTCAAGCGATCCTCCCATCTCAGCCTCCTGAGTAGCTGGGACCACAGGTGTGCGCCACCATGCCCGGCTACTTCTTGTATTTTTTGTAGAGATGGGGTCTCGCCACGTGGCCCAGGCTGGTCTTGAACTCCTGAGCTCAAGCTATCCGCCCATCTCGGCCTCCCAAGTGCTGGGATTACAGGAAAGAGCCACTGTGCCCAGTTCCAGCTTTTAATACTGGTTCCAGCAGCTTTTAATTGTGCCAATTTTGGGGTCTGGGGAACAACAGGAAGGAAGGAGGTAAAGAGAAAGTGGGTGAGAAGAGTCACTGAATTTCACCTCCTGTCCTTCGCCTCACCTTAATTAAACCATCTGCCAGAAACCCCACAGCCTGGGGCCAAGCTCCCAAGGCAGGAGGCTGCTCTCCACCCGGGGGACCGGAACCTACCAGGCTGAAAGTCAGCGAGCGCAGTTTCTCATTCTCCTCTTTCAGGCGGTTCAGCTCCTCGTCCCCGGACTCCTGGTCGCTGGCCGTCCTCAGGGACTGCTCTTGCAGTTCCAGCTCGCAGGAGGAAACCACGTTGACTCGCTGCAGCTCCTGCCTCAGTAGATACAGCTGTGCAGGGGAGAGGCGACAGGAAGGGCGATGGAAACAGCTTCTCCCCTGACCAGGAGCTGGGTGGATTTCTCACCCTTCCTCCTGATGATGCTTTTCACACTCAGGGGGCTTCCGGCCTTGAGACTGAAAAACCCACAAAAGGGTTCACCTAATGAATAGTCCCAAATATTCGTCTGGGGCTGGGAGGACAGAGGCCTTTCAGCTCTGTTGTGTAGATGAGGCACCATGGTTGAACTCCATGCAGGGTTAGGGTCCCAGGAATAGACCAAGAGGCCTTGATAACCAGCTCCTGGATCTCTACAGCTGAGCAGCCGGCAGTGATGGCCAGCATGCTCCCCGGCTTCCCTGCTTGTCCATATTCTTCTAAATACATCAATAAAGGGAATTTGGCGTCATGGGAATCAGTAAGAAGTGAGAGAGAGGAAAGCCAGGTCGGATGGGGTAGATGTGCCTGGGAACGTGGGACTGGGGCTATTCAGACAGTAAAGCCCCTGTACTGATTTGCAATCTGTGTGCAGGGCCCTGGCCTTCCAGGACTGTCCCACCAGGTCCTGCTGGCCTCCTTCCTCTGGACAGCAGAAACTCGGAGCCTGAGCAATGGGTCCGGCCTCTTCCCATCCTGGCGTGGCAGCCCTGGGGAGGCAGGACTTCTCCCATGAGGCAAGCCCGGGAAGTCTGTATGTCAGGGTGGGTGCTGGTGTTCACCCCTGGGCTGTGGCCAAGAAGGACCTTTCCCCCTGGACATTCCCCTCCCGACACCCACTTAGCACATTCTCAATTCGCAAGTACCCAGCTCCTGCAATGGTCCAGTTGGGCTGGGCACGTCACAGTCTACAGATTCCAAAAGTAAAATCAAGTCAGAGTTGGAAGGGAACAGGAAAACATGAGACTGAAAGTGAACCAGAACAAATGAACCGAATTCTATTTCCCACAGACGCCATAACCACAATGAAGAGAGAGACTGACAGACAAGGACAGAGAGAGCGAAACTACAGTGACTCACAAACACGGCGTTTGATTACAAACCCTCAGCCTTGAGCAAGACTGGGTGGTGGTGGGGGTGTGAATTACAAGCAAATCCAGTGCTCATCTGAGTGGGGTTGTTAATGGCAGTGGTATGGGCAGAGTGATTCTGAAGCGATGTGAGATGTACTGCAGGACTGAGCATGGCGGAATGTGCTGGTCACGCTGGGAGCAGGGTTCCCACTGGGGAAGGAACACACACATACGGAACGGGAGAAGGCAAGAAAAAGCCGCGGGGCATGGGTTGGAATTAGAGGTATGGGTGAGAACACAAGATTTCTGAAGTATGCATGTGAACTGTATGTATACTTCCATGCATATGAGTATGTGAGTGTACACAGACAAGTATGTATGTGCGTATGTATATGTATATTTCCAAACGTGTATGTGTGTTTCCTAGCTCTGTTCCCTGAAAGGGCTGAGAAGCAGACACCCCAGTAGTGATGGGCACACCTACGCCCAGATCTTGTTCTCTAAAAGGAGACAGGAGTCCAGGCGCTGTGGCTCATGCCTGTAATCCCAGCACTTTGGGAGACTGAGGTGGGCAGATCGCCTGAGGTCAGGAGTGTGAGACCAGCCTGGCCAACATGGTGAAACCCCGTCTCTACTAAAAATACAAAAAATTAGCCAGGCGTGGTGCTGCTCGCCTATAATCCCAGCTGCTCAGGAGGCTGAGGCAGGAGAATTGATTGAACCCGGGAGACGGAGGTTGCAGTGGGCTGAGATGGCGCCACTGCACTCCAGCTTGGGTGGTAGAGCGAGACTCCGTCTCACAAAAACAAACCAAAAAATAAAAAGAAAAAAAAGGAAGTGGGGCCCTCAGAGAATGGGCTGAGCCTGGATTTGGGGTAGGCTGGGTACAAGATGATCCTGTAATATCTTGTGAGGCCAGATAAGAAGTTGGTGCTCCAAAAACAAGGGACCTGTCTCAGGACATGGAGCTGGTTGAGGGCTCCATGGGTCACATCTGGGTCCATTTGAGACCAGAATCATTAAGGACAGTGAGAGGTCAGACCCCTGCAGAGTAGGAACCCATGAACTGCGCCAAGAACAGAGTCAGCCACGGGAGAAGGGAAGGCAGAGGCCGTGGGCAGCAGCAAAGTGGGGCACTGGCATGGTCATTATTCACAACCCCCAGGGTAGAGACCAGCTCCTGCCAGAGTCCCCACAGCAATGTCCCAGGAAATGTCCCCCAGGAGCATGGCGCGTGCTGGTCTCAGCGCCCCACACCCGAGATGCTTATCAGTTGCAGGGAAGAAAAGAAAGAGCGATTCTGCAGTAGAGCAACTGGGCTGCACCTTGGCAAGTGGTGGAGGGTGACATCCCCTGTGAGGGGCAACAGGACCTCGAGAGCTCTCAGGGGATGCCCTGAGTCAGGCCAGCAGCCCCTGTGCAGGGTCCTGGCCAAAGAACATAACTTCTGTCTACACGTAGGAAACACAAGACAAACCCCCACATGAAAGGCCATCTATCATCGAAGGGAAGGGGTGAGGGCTTTAAAGGGGGCCACCTCGTAATAGACAAAGAAAGGCTGTGGGCTGTTCCCAAACAAAGGCAAGGAGGATAAAGAGAGGAATGGCGGAATGCAGGGCCCGACCCTGGGCTGGGGGGAAGGCTGTGAAGGGGTCACTGGGACAGATGATAAAACCGGAACACAGAAGGATTGGATAAAAACAGGGTGTCCATACCAAAAAGACTGAAGTTGAGAACTGCACTGTGGCTATACAGGACTACGTGCTTATTTTCAGGAAGCAGACACTGAAGGGTTTGGTGAGGGTAAAGGGCCATGAGAGAGTAAAGGTATAAATGATAAAGCAAGGGTAGGTGGGTATTCTTTTTTTTTTTTTTTTTTTTTTTTTTTTGAGACGGAGTCTCGCTCTGTAGCCCAGGCTGGAGTGCAGTGGCCGGATCTCAGCTCACTGCAAGCTCCGCCTCCCGGGTTCACGCCATTCTCCGGCCTCAGCCTCCCGAGTAGCTGGGACTACAGGCGCCCGCCACCTCGCCCGGCTAGTTTTTGTATTTCTTAGTAGAGACGGGGTTTCACCGTGTTAGCCAGGATGGTCTCGATCTCCTGACCTCGTGATCCGCCCGTCTCGGCCTCCCAAAGTGCTGGGATTACAGGCTTGAGCCACCGCGCCCGGCCGGTGGGTATTCTTTGTACTGTTTTTATTTGTGTGATTTAAAAATATATATTTGAAATAATTTCTAAATGAGAAGTAACAAATTAAAAACAAACAACAAATGCCATGATTAAAGGCAAAGGGCTGGCTGGCACAGGGGCTCACGCCTGTAATCCCAGCACTTTGGGAGGCCAAGGCGGGCAGATCACGAGGTCAGGAGATCGAGACCATCCTGGCTAACACAGTGAAAGCACGTCTCTGCTAAAAATACAAAAAACTAGCTGGGCGCGGTGGCGGGCACCTGTAGTCCCAGCTACTCGGGAGGCTGAGGCAGGAGAATGGCATGAACCTGGGAGGCGGAGCTTGCAGTGAGCCGAGATTGCGCCACTGCACTCCAACCAGGGTGATGAGCAAGACTCCATCTCAAAAAAAAATAAAAAAATAAAATAAATTTAAAAAATTAAAAAAAAAAAAGACAAAGTGCTGGCCAGCGCAGGGGCTCACACCTGTAATCCCAGCACTTTGGGAGGCCAGGGTGGGAGGAGCCCAAGAGTTCGAGATCAGCCTGGACAACATAGTGAGAGCCCTATCTCAAAAAAAAATTTTTTTTTTAATTAGCTGGGTGGGTGGCACAGTCTGCAGTCCCAGCTACTCAGGAGGCTGGGGATGGGATCCCTTGAGCTCCGGAGTTTGAGGCTGTAGTGAGCTGGGACTGCACCACTGTACTCTGGCCTTGGTGACAGAGTGAGACACTGTCTCTAAAAAATTAAAAATAATAGTAATAAAAATAAAGGTAAAAAGAAAATGCCAAAATGACAAGGAGTGCACATCCTCCATATTTTGAGAAGCCTTTTACCCAACAGTCAGGTCATTAGCCCCAAAGAAAAATGAGTGAAACACACTGAGTTTCAGAGGCCTGAGTTGAGAACCCTCCTGCCCTCCCCGCCTGAGTCCAGGACCAGCTGAGAAGGACAAAGGAGGACGACAGAGACTGACTATCCCGTGTCACTGCTGCAGCTGGGCAGTGGGACCCAGGTGGCATTACAAATATGGAGCCCAGAGCGTCCAGATCTGCCCAGGCGTCGGCAGGATGGGCAGTTCACAGACCAGCCGGCCAGGCCATGGGCAGCTACTGGACAAGGCACACCTCGCCACCATGCAGGCTATACGGAGGGGCCCGGGTGGCCTCCCGGGGAGGGGAAGGATCAGCTTCCCAGAGGGGTCTCAGCCAAGGGTCTTGGGGCAGGGAAGTGTTAGACAAGGAAGAGGGGAAAGGAGTTCCAGGCAGGTGGACCAGCTAGTACAAAGGCCTGGGGGCAGACAGCAGCAGGGTCTCGCTGGGGTGCAGGGTGTCCCCCTACCTCCTCCTGCAGGCTGCGGCAGCGTGAGGCGGCCAGCTCCTTCTCCTGCAGGGCGCTGCTGTAGTGCAGCGAGAGACTGAGCATCTCGTCCTTCAGCCTCAGCACCTCATGGAAGTGGGTGCTAACCTCACGCTTCATGCGGCTGTGGTCAGCCTCCAGCTGGTGCAGGCCCTCGGCACGGGTCTCGGCCAGGCCCAGGCGCTCCTGCAGCTGCTGGCACCGCCGCAGCAGCACCTCCTTCTGCCCCTTCTCCTGGTTCAGCTCTTCTTGCAGGCTGCCGATGGCCCCAGCCAGGCACTCGGTCAGCTTGGATGTCTCCATGAGACCTGTGGGAAGATGGGCAGGTGGGCAAGTGAGCAGGTGGGAAGCTGAGCATGTGGGCAGATGGGCATGTGACAGGTGTGCAGGTGGGCCGGTGGGCTGAGGCATTGCTCCCATGCCCCAGACTCCCCAGCAGGCCCCCAGCTTTAACCTGCTGGTCTCCTTAAAAGCTCCTGGGCCTCAAGCAGACTCGGTGCTTTGGCTGAATAAACAGCGTGACTCCCGATTTTGGCATGAGGGTTACCCACTCTGACCTTCCCCATGAGACCCCACTGTTGAGACTTAATGACCCTCCTTGGTAGCTGAGATGCGCTCAGTGCTAACTCATTTTAATGTTATCCCGAGAAAAAGATAAAACAAGAATACGAATCCATGTACTAGAACTCTAAAGAACATAAACACACACTGTGTGGGAATACAGGGAAAATGGTCTGTTCTCCACCGTTTTGGGTCATGTGAGTCCTGCTCCTTTCAATACATAAATCTTTCAACAGTTCCTCCAGGGAAGCCTAGAATGACTCCCTGAAGGAAAATGGGGAGCAGTGCACAGAAGGCTCTGCGGCCGTGTACCCTCCGTCACCTCCTAGGAGCTGGGCCTGGGCTGTTCTGGCCCCTCCAGCAAAGCTGCAAGGTTAAAGGCGGACTCCAGGAGACACTCCCTTGCCCTTTGCTTGTGTCTCTCCAAGCAGATCTCCCTACCCCATCCCTCAGGGGTCTCCTCTTGGCGCTGGGTATTTAAGGACCAACCCTTTAGAGTCAAGGCGCAGGGGCTCCTTATCCTACCCACCCCCAATACAGGGAGGGGGTTCCTCCCCCTCAGAGTGCTGGGGCTGGGACAGGGACTGCAGCCTGGAGGGAAGGGGGAGAAGGGCAAATCGGCAGGTGAGTGGGGCACCTGGGGTTACCAGGAGCCTGAGGTTCCTAGGCAGTGCCTGCGATCAGAGTCGGAGCTCTCACCGCTGAAGTTGCTGAAGTCGACATCAGGCTGCAGCCCAGTGACCAGGGTGTAGACGTCAGGGTTGTGGAACTTCAGGCTCTCCAGGAAGGCGATGGCCCCGTTCTTCCCTCGAGTCTTCAGCAAATCCAGCAAGTGCCCTTGGGAGGCAGAACCGCCTGTTAGCTACCAAAGGGGCTGGGCTCCCTGGCTGGCTTCCCCACGGGGGAGGGGCCTGGGGCTGGGGAAACCCCCCGCACATCTAAGAATTGGGAGGTAAAAGCAGTTTTCCAGGATCTGCTGGGTGGGATGCGCCCTCACTACTCTCACAGGCTCCCTTTACCCACATGACCTCAGTCAGACTTGAGAAGGGTAAAGCTGGCATTTATTGAGCAAAAACTGCAACCCAAGTGCTCTGGCAAGCATAGGGGGACGGGGACTGGGTGAGGAGGTCGGTCCCTGCTTGCAAACACCTCCCTGGCAAGCCGGTGGGTGGTGCAGACGCAGGGTCCCACCACAGTGCCATCAGCTTTGGAGCCATGAACAGAAAGAAGCAGAGTGGCACCCCAGGGCTGCAGGGGACAGGTCCAAGGGAGCCTCGGGGCCTTCCACACCCAGGGCCCAGAGCCCATCTCTCTCAGCCAGAATGACTAGCGTGGATTCATCTCTCCTGTGTTTGAGGTTCATTCGCCAACATGCTGAATATTACCATGTTGACAGCTACCACCTACTGCCTGTTTTCTATAGCCCCAGCTTTGCAGTATTTTATAAACTAACTCACTTGCTTCTCCTAACAACTTTATATGGTAAAGCCATTAGCATTCTCATTTTTTAATGAATAAACACAGCTAGTGGGACCATCAGAATGGACTCCAAAGACATCGGTAGTGGTGTGAATGGTGGTTCCCCTTCAAAGACATGTTCATCTGGAACCTGTCCAGGTGACCTTTTGTGGGAAAAGGGCCTTTGCAGATATAAGTTAATGATTTCAAGATCAGATCATCCTGGTTATCCAGGTGGGCCCCAAATGCAAGAGCAAGTGTTTTTATAAGAGACGCGATAAGAAGAGACCCCCTGAAGATAGAGGCAGACAGTGGAGCCATGTGGACCGAAAGCCAAGGAACACCTGGGGCCGCAGGAAGCTGGAAGAGGTGGGGAAGAGGGAGCTGCTCTCACCGGCCCTCATGGCGCTGTTGGTGAGCCGGGGGCTGTGCAGCACCTCCTCCTCGTCCAGCTGGCACAGCACCTTGGCCTGGCGCAGGTAGGGAGTGAGGCGGCTGGGGCAGATGCAGCGCACGATCCTGTGGCGGTGGCTCTCCATCATGTCCCACAGCGTCTCCTCGTCCAGTGCTGTGAGCGCAGAGTCCTTGCGGCACAGTTCCCCCATGGCTGGGCGCTGGAAGGACCCTAGGAGGGGCGGCCATGGGGGTGGAGCTGTCAGGGAAGCAGGAGCCCAGGACAGCCAGGGTGACACCATTTTAAAATTAACTCCATCGTAAAATTTGCAAGGTGCACTCTTTGCCAGTCAGAACCCACGGTCCTGGGATGTTTACAGCAGAGGAAGCAGCATGGTAACGCCTGCAAGGACAAACTCCCATGACGACAAAATGTCCGGACGCCCATCACAGGATAAGATCTGCTTTGAAGATGATTATACTCATCACCATGGTGTTGGAACGACCTTGACGGTCTTTGCCATGTTGGTTTCTCCCTCTGCGTAAGACTGAGTGCTATGGCCCCACCTGCTCTACCCCAATCCTAAGCAATAACGTCGCTAATTCACACTTTGTTGTGTCAGTTACAGCTTTTTCTAAAAAATTAAAGTAAATAAATACTTATTTTTTTTTGGCCGGGTGAGGTGGCTCACGCCTGGCCGAGGTGGGCAGATCATGAGGTCAGGAGATCGAGACCATCCTGGCTAACATGGTGAAACCCCGTCTGTACTAAAAATACCAAAAAAAATTAGCCGGGTGTGGTGGTGGGAGCCTGTTGTCCCAGCTACTGGGGAGGCTGAGGCAGGAGAATGGCGTGAACCCGGGAGGCAGAGCGTGCAATGAGCCGAGATCACGCCACTGCATTCCAGGCTGGGTGACACAGCGATACTCCGTCTCAAAAAAAAAAGAAAGAAATTCATCCAAAATAATGGTAGTAGGCTAGGCATATTGGCTCATGCCTATAATCCCAGCACTTTGAGAGGCCAAGGCGGAAGGATTGCTCAAACCTAGGAGTTCGAGACCAGCCTGGCCAACATGGTGAAACCCTGTCTCTACTAAAAATACAAAAATTAGCCAGGTATGGTGGTATGCACCTGCAATCCCAGCTACTCAGGAGGCTGAGGCAGGAGGATCATTTGAGCCTGGGAGGCAGAGGTTGTGGTGAGCTGAAATTGTGCCACTGCACTCCAGCCTGGGTGACACAGGGAGACCCTGTCTCAGTAAACAAACACACACACAAACAAACAAATAACAGTAGGGGTGCTACACTTTGGAAATGCTGCTTTATATATTCTTCACGAAAGGTAATTTTCATTAGAAGCAAGACTGTCGGCTTCTCTAGAGCCGAGATCGTGCCACTGCACTCCAGCCTGGGTGATATAGCGAGACTCTGTCTAAAAAAACAACAAAAAAGTTCCTATTGTTTTCAGCTACCTAGCAGGTGGTCCCTTGTTTGCAGCGGCCCAGGACACTGCTATAGAGGACTGCACAGAGGACTCCATGCGAGGGAATGTGCTGGGGAATGACACTGGGCACAAGTGCCTTGGGGAAGATGCTTCAGGGTCGTAACGGCCAGCACGGCTCGGCTGTGGAGAGTGTGGGCTTACAAAGGTGGCCAGGCAGACAGAGGGTGGACAGGTCCCCGAAAGGGCTGAGCTGCAGCTGGTCTGGGGCTACCACCAGGGCTGATGTCCCAAGCCCAGGTCTGTCTGGACAGAGTACATGAAGCATGTTGCCGTTACAGCCTGGAACGCCTGCTCTTCAGGGGACATGCTGGCTAGTGCAGACTCTAAGAGCTGTTGGAGGTCCTCAGCGGTCACCTGCCCAGCCTCCTGTCCTAGCAAGAGGCCCAGGCACCCTAGCTTTGGAGATGAGCTGTGTTCCCTGCTGTGCCCCTGTCTGAGCCCCTATGTGGCATCAACATAAGGCCATTAGCTTATGAATCCATCTAAATACTTTTAAAATGTTTTAAAACTGTGCACTGTTTCCAGCATATTAAAAAAATCCTCCAAATAACAAATATCCTGCAAATAACAAATATCCGCGTACCCACTGTGTGGATTCAACCGTCTTGACATTCTGCACTTCAAGTTTCTTTTTAAGGAAACGAGAGACAGATGGCGCCTTTTGTTCTCTTCAGTCCCTCTTCCCTCCCTCTCTGGCCAGACATTCTAAAAATCATTTAAAAATGTTTTTTTTTTTTTTTTTGAGGTAGGGTCTTGCTCTGTTGCCCAGGCTGGAATGCAGTGAGGTGATCGTGGCTCACTGCAGCCTTGAGCTCCCAGACCCAAGCAATCCTCCCACCTCAGTCTCTCAAGTACCTGAAGCCACAGGCATGCGCCACCATGCCTGGCTTATTTTTTAATTTTTGTAGAGATGGAATCTCCCTATGTTGCCCAGGCTGGTCTTGAACTCCTAGGCTCAAGTGATCTGTCTACCTCAGCCTCTGAAAGTACTGGGATTACAGCCCAGCCTAAAAATGATATTTTAAAAATCATTTCCTATAAGTGGAAGTGTGTATAAACAGCATATAGTATCTTTGCATGATACTTCAAGCAGACAGCAGGTTTACATCAACAGCACCTTCAGTGTTAGCTGGAACTTCACAGAAACTATCGTTCTGTGCAAGGCTGTACAGCTTCTGAGGTTTCTCATACTGATACACGCAGCTTGATACATGCACGATCCCTCAGACTGTGCACCGGATTCAATGATATGAATAACCACGTGGACTTATCATGCTCCTGTGTGAGGATATCAGGTTGTGCCTAATTTTTCTCCACTGCCCACAGAGCTGCAGCCACCACCTTTGTTAATCTCTTGGGCACAGGTGGGAGCGATTCCTCATAGACCCATGAATTCCCGTGACTTGATTCTTTTCATTTGGAATGAGAGGCTGGACCATGGGAGACAGATGCCTCTTGAAGGGGTCTGTATGCTAAAAATACTTGAGAATCAGAGCAAATCAACACCTGCCATCTAAAAAATGGAAAATGGGCCAGATGCAGTGGCTCATGCCTGTAATCCCAGCACTTTGGGAGGCCAAGGCAGGCGGATCACCTGAGGTCAGGAGTTCGAGACCAGCCTGACCAATATGGCGGAACCCCATCGCTACTAAAAATACAAAAATTAGCCAGGCATGGTGATGAGTGCCTGTAGTCCCAGCTACTTGAGAAGCTGAGGCAGGAGAATCGCTTGAACCTGGGAGGCAGAGGTTGCAGTAAGCCGAGATTGCGTCATTGCACTCCAGCCTGGGTGACAGTGAGAGACTCCGTCTCAAAAATTTAAAAAAATATATATTTAAACATTTAAATAAAACATGGAAAATGATAGTTGGAGAGTCGTGTGTGCAGGAGCAGCGCCACAAGCCCTCCGAGGAGCCGGGACTCCGGAAGTACTCACCAGGTGTCTCAGGGTCGTTTTTGCAGGAGTTCCGTGCAGTGGGGTGGGGTCCTCAGTCCCCGCAACCTCTCCAAAGTCCAGTGTGGTGCCAGCTGCCTCCTCTCTGCAGGCTGCTGGGCAGGATGGAGCTGGGCAGAAGGAAGAGCCTGAAGCCAAAGCAGCACCAGGTGAAATGACGGTGATTTCAAGCCATGTGACCTGTTCCAGAACTCAAAGTTCGGTCACAACAACCGCAAGCGGCAGGGAAAAGACGTTAAACTGGGATCTGGGAAATAACTCGACGGACCTTTGACCCCTGTGGTTTTCCCAGTAACTACTGAAGCTTCCTTAGCGCTTGGAAGCAGACTTCTAGAATGTACCTGGGCTTTGAACCCTAGACTACCAAGGAGAGTTGATAGGCGCACCAGTTATCCAAAGCGTCCACAGGCCTGTCTGGGACTCCCCACAGGGCCAGGCCACTCATATCCTTCTGTTGAGTCTCCTTGCCCGGAAGGAAGAACAGCTGGAGAGGACAGCGAGGGGCCCAGAGGCCGGGGCCGGCAGGTGAGGAGGAGAAGAGAACCAGCCTAGGGCAGCTCTGCCTCACTCCTTCTGATCTCAGTCCTATTTCTCACTGGAACAGGTGATTGAGGTTTGTGAGTCACTGATTGTGGCACCCCAAAAAGAATGCTGAGTCTTGGCCCCCAGTACCTGTAAATAGGACCTCATTTGGGAATAGGTACCTGCCAACATAATCAAGTTGAGGTCATTAGGGTGGGCCCTCGTCCAGGGATGCGTGCCCTTATAACAAGAGGAGAAGGGCTGGGTGCAGTGGCTCATGCCCATAATCCCACACTTTGAAAGGCCAAGGCGGGCAGATTGGTTGAGCTTCGGAGTTTGAGACCAGCCCAGGCTACACAGTAAGACCTTGTCTCTGCTAAAAATTTTTTTCTTTCTTTTTTTTTTTTTTTTGAGACAGAGTCTTGCTCTTGTCGCCCAGGCTGGAGTGCAATGGCACAATCTCGGCTCACTGCAACCTCTGCCTCCCGTGTTCAAGCAATTCTCCTGCCTCAACCTCCTGAGTAGCTGGGATTACAAGTGCGTGCCACCACGCCCAGCTACTTTTTGTATTTTTAGTAGAGACGGGGTTTCACCATATTGGCCAGGCTGGTCTCGATCTCCTGACCTCAAGTGATCCGCCTGCCTCAGCCTCCCAAAGTGCTGGGATTACAGGTGTGAACCACCATACCCGGCCTAAAAAAAATTTTTTTTTAATTAGCCAGGTGTGGTGGTGCACACCTGTAGTTGTAGCTACTGAGGAGGCTGAGGTGGGAGGATTGCCTGAGCCTGGGAGGTATAGGTTGCAGAGCTGAGATAGTGCCACTCCACTCCAGCCTGGACGACACAGCAAGACCCTGTCTTAAAAAAAAAAAAGAAGAAGAAGAAGAGGAGAAGGGCCCTAGACCTAGACGCCCCGTGACCACCCCATGTTGGCTGAGGCCGAGACTGGAGTGACACGCCGAGGGTCGGTGGTAACACTAGAAACTCAAGAGAAGGCATGAGGTAGACCCTCCCTGGAGCCTTCATGGGGGGTGCGGCCCTGCTGACCCCTGGAGTGTGGACTTCTGGCCTCCAGAACCACGAGCAAATACTTTTCTGTTATTTTAAGCCACCCAGTTTACGGTAATTTATGATGGCAGCCAGAGGAAGCGTGCACGGCGGCAAAGGGGATGTGGAAATTGTCCGTCCATCTCCAGCGATGCGCTGCCAATGGGCATGTTCCCATGGAAGGCTCCTGAGTTCCCGGCCTCCACCCAGTAGAAGCTTGTGTCGCTGGAGTCTGACTCCAAGTCAGAATGATCCTCTGTCCCACTTCAGGACCAGCTATATCATCTGTGGAGCTCAGTGCAAAATGAAAGTACGGTGCGCTTGTTTTAAAAACGTATTCAGGCCGGGCGCGGTGGCTCAAGCCTGTAATCCCAGCACTTTGGGAGGCCGAGACGGGCGGATCACGAGGTCAGGAGATCGAGACCATCCTGGCTAACACGGTGAAACCCCGTCTCTACTAAAAAATACAAAAATCTAGCCGGGCAAGGTGGTGGGCGCCTGTAGTCCCAGCTACTCGGGAGGCTGAGGCAGGAGAATGGTGTAAACCCGGGAGGCGGAGCTTGCAGTGAGCTGAGATCCGGCCGCTGCACTCCAGCCTGGGCGACAGAGCGAGACACCGTCTCAAAAAAAAAAAAAAAATTCAGAATTTCAAGGCAGCAATAGCAGAGCAATAAAGTCAGCCCAGGGCCCCCGACTCCAGCCCTGCCTTGCATAACTGAGGGGTCTTCAGGCCCACTGTCTATCAGGGCGGTAGCTAAAGGTAGGGGATGGTTTCCTTCACAGAAGATGGAATGTCCTAAAGTTAACTGTGGTGTTGTTTGCACTTATCTGTGAATACACTAAAAGCATCGTAAACAGGTGAATTGTGTGCCATGTGGGTTATAGCTCTTCCTTTTTTTTTTTTTTTTTTTGTGAGACAAGGTCTTGCTCTGTTGCTCAGGCTGGAATGCAATGGTGCAATCTCTGCTCACCGCAATGTCCATCTCTTGGGCTTAAGTGATCCTCTACCTTAGCCTCCTGAGTATCTGGGATTACAGATATGTGCCACCATGCCAGGCTCATTTTTTTTTTTTTTTTTTTTTTTTTTGAGAGATGGGGGTCTCACTATGTTGCCTGGGCTGGTCTAAAACTCCTAGGTCCAAGCAATCCTCCCACCTCAGCCTCAGAAAGTGCTAGGATTATAGGTGTGAGCCACTGCGCCTGGCCGTGAGTTATATCTCAACAAAGTTGTTTAAAAAAAAAAAAAAAGATCCAGGCTTGGTGCAGTGGCTCACGCCCGTAATTTGGAAGGCAGAGGTAGAAGGATCGCTTGAGCCCAGGAATTCGAGACAAGTCTAGGCAATAGAGGATGTTCCTGTCTCTAAAAACAAACAAACAAACAAAAGATTCGAGAGTGACTGGCGATCCCACCCTGCCTCCCGCTTCCCTCTCTGACCCCACTCCCTGCCAGGAAGCCGGAGGAGGGTGGGCTGAGGAGGTCCCTGCAGTGACCAGTTCTGCCCCTGCCACCCCACGGCCAGGGCTGGGGGGTCCACAGTGCATGGGACACCGGCACCCTCTTTCCTTTCTCTTCGTTTTCAGCCTAGGCTGGGCCCCCTCCCAGCCAGGGCCTGCCTGTTCAGCGCCCCCACCACAAGCGGGGTTCCTTTCTTGCCAGCTCCTGTTCTCTGCCAGGAGGTGTTGGGCAGGAGTGTGTGCTCCGGGCGTTCCCCTGCCGGCCTCCTCCCTTCCATCCCCTTGGCTTCCTCATTCCAGGATCCCTGTTCACCTCAGCTGACCCCGTGACCCCCTAGGAATGTTTCTGGCTCCTGCAGAGGCATCTGGGGTTCCCCTCACTTAGATGGCAACCATGTGGGCGCAGTCATTCCGTCACGTCAAGCCCAAAGTCTCCAGGTCAAACCCAACACAGGACCAGGGCAGCCTCCTGTACCTCCCTCCCCAGCTCCTGGCGAAATGAACCAAATGTTGCTTTTTAAAAAGTTAAAAAAATAAGTAAGTGAATAAAGCAGCAACCACAAAATGAGGAAAGGAAAACAACTTTTCTGTCACAAACTGAAAAATAGCAGAGGCCAGGCACGGTGGCTCACGCCTGCAATCCCAGCACTTCGGGAGGCTGAGGCAGGCAGATCGCTTGAGCCCAGGAGTTCGAGACCAGCCTGGGCGACATGGCGAAACCCTGTCTCTACAAAAAATACAAAAATTAGCCGGGCATGGTAGCATGAGCCCGTGGTCCCCAAGCTACTTGGGAGGCTGAGGTGGGAGGATCACTTGAGCTCAGGAGGCAGAGGTTGCAGTGAAATGAGATTGCATCACTGCACTCCAGCCTGGATGACAGAGTGAGACCCTGTCTTAAAAAAAAAAAAAGGAAAAAAAAAAAAGGCCAGGCGCGGTGGCTCACGCCTGTATCCCAGCACTTTGGGAGGCCGAGGCGGGCAGATCACGAGGTCAGGAGATCGAGACCATCCTGGCAAACATGGTGAAACCCTGTCTCTACTAAAAATACAAAAAAAAAAAATACAAAAAACTAGCCGGGCGTGGTGGTGGGCGCCTGTAGTCCCAGCTTCTCGGGAAGCTGAGGCAGGAGAATGGCGTGAACCCGGGAGGCGGCAGAGCTTGGCGGAGATCGCGCCACTGCACTCCAGCCTGGGCGACAGAGCGAGACTCTGTCTCAAAAAAAAAAAAAAAGAAAAATGGCAGATAAGCCCTGAAACCAAAGGAGCGGTGCCAAGGGGCACTGGGGGCACAGGTGCCAGTGCAACCCTTAGGGACAGACTGCGGGAAGAGGGGGCCTAAGCATCCCTCTACTGTTTGGGCAGCTGAAGAGAAGTCTAGGGAAGTCAGAGAAGACGCCCCAGAGCTGCCTCCAGCTTCCCTGGGAGTCCTCAGCAGGGGTGGGGAGGAGGCTGTACTGAGCCGGGAGAGAGCCCAGGCCCGGCTGCCCTTCTCAGTGTGGGGCAACCACCGGATTTCTTTAATCACACATCCAGTACCAAACTACGGTGGGAATCGCGTCTTCCAGCCAAAGAAGAAGATTCTTTACCCTAAGAAATAATGCACGCAGTAGAAATCAGGGTGGGGGTAGGGGAAGGAAGTTGTCACTTTATCTTCCACAACCCTGTGCTATCTAAAATAAAGTAAGGCCGGGCGACGTGGCTCATGGCTGTAATCCCAGCACTTTGGGAGGCAGAGATGGGCGGGTTGCCTGAGGTCAGGAGTTCAAGACCAGCCTGGCCAACATGACAAAACCCCGTCTCTACTAAAAATACAAATATTAGCTGGGTGTGGTGGCGCACGCCTGTAATCCCAACTACTCGGGAGGCTGAGGCAGGAGAATCGCTTGAACAAGGGAGGTAGAGGTTGCGGTGAACCAAGATTGTGCCACTGCACTCCAGCCTGGGAGACAGAGCGAGACTCCATCACAAATTAATTAATGAATTACATTCAACAAAATGCTGATTTTATTCTATTTTCCATTTTGTGGAGAATGGGGTCTTGCTATGTTGGCCAGGCTCTCAAACTCCTGGGCAGTCCTCTCACCTCTGCCTCCCTGAGTGCAATGATTACAGGTATGAGCCAGCAAACCCAGCACTGATTTTACATCATGTCACTAATTTATCAAGGTTTTTGTAATCTCTTGTCTGAATCTTGGGGATTTTTAGGAACTAAGAGTTCTGGTCATTGTGAAACTGTTCTACCTTATTTGGCATTCCATTATTATTTCTGACAATTAAAAAATCTTTTTGGCCGGGCGTGGTGGCTCACACCTGTAATCCCAGAATTTTGGGAGACCGAGGTGGGCAGATCACAAGGTCAGAAGTTCAAGACCAGTATGGCCAACATAGTGAAACCCCATCTGTACTAAAAATACAAAAAAGTACCCGAGTGTGGTGGTGTGCACCTGTAATCTCAGCTACTTGGGAAGCTGAGGCAGGAGAATCGCTTGAACCTCGGAGGCAGAGGTTGCAGTGAGCCGGGATCATGCCATTGCACTCCAGCCCGGGAGACAGTGCGAGACTCCATCTAAAAAAAAGAAAAAATGTCGAATCTGGATGCACTGCCTATGAGTTAGCCCAGCTCCTCAAAGAGCAGTACGTAAAAAATAAAAACAATAAAAAAAACTTTTGCCAGCAACACCTGAGCTGAACTAAAATTTAAGTAAAATTAAAAGTTTACATTTAAATCATGTAGAATATGATCCCATTTCTATAAAACAGTGTTAGTTTATCTCTGGGAGTCCCTCAATCTATGTGCCCATCCATCCATTCATTCCGATCCATCCATTCATTCCAATCTGCCAATCAGTCTGTTCTGTCATTCCATGCGCGCGCGTGTGTGTGTGTGTGTGTGCATGAGAGAGAAAGAGGGGGAGACAGACGGAGAGGCAGAGAGCAGAGGGATGTGGGAACACTCCTCACCAATGCTAATAATGCTTTGTTCATGGTGGTTGATTGTTAAGAAATCTGTCGAGGCCGGGCGCGGTGGCTCACGCCTGTAATCCAGCACTTTCAGAGGCCGAGGCAGGTGGATCACTTGAGGTCAGAGTTCGAGACCAGCCTGCCAACATGGTGAAACCCCATTTCTACTAGAAATAGAAAAATTAGCCGGCCGTGGTGGTGCTCGCCTGTTGTCCTAGCTACTTGGGAGGCTGAGGCAGGAGAATCACTGGAACCTGGGAAGCAGAGGTTGCAGAGAGCGGAGATGGCACCACTGCACTCCAGCCTGGGAGCCAGGGTGAAACTCCATCTCAAAAAAAAAAAAAAAAAAAAGAAATCTGTTTAGAATAAACAAGCATGGGTTCAATAAAAACCATAAAGTCATTATTTTAGAAAACAATAAAATTAATCCAACTGATCAAACAGAGAAGGAGATGGGCCTCATCCTAGAAGTATTCGCCACGGAACACTGGGGCCCGAGGTTGTCTGAGACAGTCCTGTTTATGACCCGTGTCCTAGAGTAATGATCAATGGTGCCACCTTTCTCTCTCAATACAGACTCGGTTTAGGGGCACATCTTCACGGGAAGGGGAGGCGAAGGCACGCCGAGGCTGAGCTTCTCCAGCTACAGCAGGGATACCAGCAGAAACGTCTCCTCTCCTGCTCCCTTCAGCCCGGATGAATGTGGCGCATGGAGGGGGTGGGAGCCCAGGGGATGACAGATACTGGCTGAAGTGGGGAAAGTTCTAGAAGAGGGAAAGCGGGAGGAAGACTTGGCTGGTCCAGGATGCATCAGTTGGGAAGACAACTGTTTCTTACCCTCAGGGCAGGATTTCTTAGCTTTCCACTTAGTGAAGGACAGTGCAGCATCTTCATAAAATCCCGGTATTTGCCCCCAAATCTCTTACGAAACATCTACGTCAATAGGCATCGGCCTGAGCCTAGAGGTTCCAAAGCAGATGGAAAATACAGGAGTCCCTGACGGGTCGCCTACAAGGCCTTTCTTTGTGGCCAATGGCCCTGTGATTAAGTTGGTGCCAAAGAGCCAATGACCCAAAAACTAGGGCTTACCGCAGTATGTTTGTTCCTAGCAAATGACACTCTGGCACTCTCTCTAGTATTTCACTATATCGAGTTGCCAAGGGGCCACGTCTCCAGCTTGCGGCTGAAACCCTGGGAGTTCTGGACAGCCAGGTCTGTGTGGATACCCTGAGGACCAGGACTGGTGGCCAGCCCCGGACTACAGGTTCCTTGGATGCCTTCCCAGAACTGGGTCCAGGTGGCAATGGCTGCGTCTGGGAGGGTCCTCTCGTTAGACTGCTCCTCTGCCCCTGACTTGCCCGAGCCTCACAGGACTCCTGAGGAGGCTCTGAGGGTGCTGACTGTGCCCTCCCATCAGACTAAACTCAGAAAGCCAGGGCAGCTCAAGCCAAAGCTGCCTCACCAGCAGCTGAAGGCAGAGGCTCTGCAGGACTCTCCAGACCCCAGCCAATTGCCCCAGCCAGCTGCCCCTCAGGCTTCTGGAGCCCCCAGAGCCACACTGGGCTTCGAGCATCAGTGGGTGGAGCTAAATAGAAGTCACTAGTCCCTTCTGCAGTTGCAGTGAAGCAACTTACAGTAGACTCCAATGGCAGTTCACAATTGCAGGAGCTTCTTTGTAACTTGTCCCAATGTAAATAGGGGTTAGTCCTAACAGACAAAACAAACAAACAAACAAACAAACAAACACTTTAGGGCTGGGCACGGTGGCTCAAGCCTGTAATTCCAGCACTTTGGGAGGCCAAGGCAGGAGGATCGCTTGAGCCCAAGAGATTGAGGCTGCAGCGAGCTGTGATTGTGCCACTGCACTCCAGCCTGGGTGACAGAGCAAGACCCTGGCTCAAAAAAAGGCAAAGAACAAAAGAAAGAGAGAGAGAGAAAGGAAGGAAGGAGGGAGAGAGGGAGGGAAGGAAGGAAGGAAGGAAGGAAGGAAAGAAAAAAAGCAGGAAGGCAAGAAAGCAAGCTAAATAGAAGTCACTAGTCCCTTCTGCAGTTGCACTGAAGAAAGTAAAGAAGGAAAGGAGGGAAGGAAGGAAGGAAGGAAATGAAAGAAGGAAGGAAATGAAGGAAGGAAAGAAGTGAATGAAGGAAGGGGAGAGAGAAAGAAAGAGAGAAAGAAAGAAAAGAAAGAGAAAGAAAAAGAAAGAAAAAAGAGAGAGAGAGGGAAGGAGGGAGAGAAAGAAAGAGAGAAAGAGAGAAAGAAAGAAAAGAGGCCAGGAGCAGTGGCTCACACCTGTAATCCCAGCACTTTGGGAGACCAAGATGGGCAGATCACCTGAAGTCAGGAGTCTGAGACCAGCCTGGCCAACATGACAAAACCCTGTCTCTACTAAAAATAAAAAAAATTAACCGGGCGTGGTGGCATACAACTATAGTCCCAGCTACTTGGGAGGCTGAGGCAGGAGAATTGCTTGAACCCAGGAGGCAGAGGTTGCAGTGAACCAAGATTGTGCCACTGTACTCTAGCCTGGGCGACAGAGGGAGACTTCTGAAAAAGGCAAGAAGAGGGGAGGGGAAGGGAGGAGAGGAGAGGGTCCAGAGATCCCTAATTCCAAACTCTGAATCTAACTGTACAATTCTAGAAGAACCTAAGATCAGAAAATCCTGAGCATCTAAGATGTGGGTTCTCCTTATTTGACCCCTCCCAGGTCAACATCCTTCTCCTAACCCAAGGATCAGTCTCTTCCCTTGCCAGTGAAGTAGGGAAGAAGGCAGATGTACACACACACACACACACGTACACACCCCATGGGGGGCAGATGGTCACAAGCCCAGGAGGAGGGGGCACAGCTCATCCCAGCCCCCCAGTGCCATGACAGGCTCGCTGTGCCCCTGCTACCAAGAGCAGGCAGCTGGTCTTGCTCACTTTGTTCTGAACTTAGACACCTTCCTTCCCCTGTCTTTCGTCCCGCGGCAAAAGTGAGGAGATGAGAGTATAAAACGGAGAATCCCTTTCATCTAGCATGACCCGTGCTGTTTAAAGGTGGAACTCAGCATTCAGAGAATGTTCCAGCGATTGATCCAGCAACACAGACAAGCCGTTTTCTGCTCTCTAGTCCACACACAAGGCAGCACCTCCACTCCTGATGAGGAAGAAGCCGCCCCCTCCCACTCCCCTGGGATGCTCTTGGCCCCATCAGACCTGTGTCGGCTGAGCCCCTCCATAGGCTGAGCCCTCCAAAGGCTGACCTGCTGTCTGCCGGATGGACTGTGTGCACTTACCTTCACTCTCCCAGGGAAGCGAGGACTGAATGTGGCCCAATCTCTGGCTGAACTGAACAGCAGTGGACAAGCAGGTTTGACAGGCACGTCCCACAGGAGCAGTACCTTATATGGGGCTTCTATGAGCCATCGAAGCACAGTACATTCCCACAGCTGGGCATTGATGTAAGAACCACAGGGATGGCGGAGAACAGTCTGTGCATCTGGTCGACCCACAGAAGATGGTGACTGAGGGGAAGGCTTCAGGGCTGGGGACTGGGAATCCTCTCTCCTTTGTGAATGGTCACCCAGTTCATCATTTCTACCCTTGGGAAAATCCTAGGAAGACCAGGATAAATTCTAGGGCCCTTCTTGGTTCTCCTGATCCATTATTGGGAGTATCTAAATAATTACAATAGATCCATCTCAAGTCAACATTTCATAACTATTGTTTAGATGTAGACGAAAGTCTTGGTCCTCCATGTTGACATATGTCTAGAATCTGATCGATTTTCGCCACCTGCATTGTGGTGCCCTGATCATGGCCCACCGGGACCTCTGCAGTGGCTTCTAACTTCTTCCCACGCCCCCATCACCAGTGCTCAACGTAGCAGGCAGAGAAGTCCTGCTAGAGCATGAGTCAGCTCCTGTCATTCCCTTCGGTGGACAGGTCCTGGAGTCCTCAGCATGACCACGAGGCTCTGCTTATCAAGTCCTTGCTGACCTTCTCTCTCTTTCACCTGTTCCAAACACACAGCCTGACAGTCTTGACCATCCAGGCACACTTCTGCCCCAGGGCCTTTGCACCTGCTGTTCCCACTGCCTGGAATACTCTTTCCCGTCCTTCCCTCCAAACTCTACTCAAATGCTACTTCCCAGATCATCCTACTTAAGTCTGTAGACCTCCCATCCCAGCCTTCTCTCCCCTTCCCTGTTTCGTCTTCTCTGTGGGAACACTGCCTTGACCTAGTGTGTATTCTAGGTACGTGGCTTCCTGCCAGCCTCCCCACTCCTCAGTCACCTACTGAGGACAATAATTATTGTTTTTCTTGTTCCTTGCTGTGTCCCCACCCCTAGGGCTGTGATATTCCATAAATATTGGTTGAGTGAATGAATAAACATTGGTGGGGGCTTAGTTTCCAATGATACAGACACTGAAAGAAGGGACATTCACAGCTCCATGGCCTGAGAACCTTCAGGATTCTCCTGCGGATAGTCAAAGGTCAGCTTTCAAGGTCATGTAGCTCGCGGTGGCTGAGCAGCAACTCCCACCCAAACTCCTGGTGATGAGCCGGCTGAGGGCACAGCCAGCTGGGCAGAGCAAGTGAGAACAGAGGCCGAGGCCAGGTGCAGACATGAACTCTCCAACCAGGGTTCCAGCCCCACTGGGTGTCAGCTTCCCCTTGGGCAGATTGGTTAAGCCCCTAAGACTCAGCTCTCTCGGTTTCCTCCAGCAGGCCTCAGGATAAGCCCTGCCCCATGGTGGGAAAGCTCGCCAGCTCATCACACTGTGCTGGCCACAAAGAAAGGTCTAGTTACAGACAATGCAAAGACATGCTGCCATTCCCAGTAAAAGAGGGGGCCAGAAGAATGCACCGGAGACAGGAGGAGTCTCACCAAGAACAGAAATAGCCATAGAAATAGTCAAGGTGCAGCCATAAAAAGGAATGAAGGGCCTTTGCAGAGACATGGATGAAGTTGGAAGCCATAATTCTCAGCAAACTAACATGGGAACAGAAATCCAAACACCGCATGTTTTCACTCATAAGTGGGAGCTGAACAATGAGAACACATGGACACAGGGAGGGGAACAACACACTGGGGCCTGTGGTAGGGGGAGTGGAGGGAGAGCATCAGGGCAAATAGCTAACGCACGTGGGGCTTAAAACCTAGGTGATGGGTTGACAGGTGCAGCAAACCACCACGCCACACATTTACTTACGTAACAAACCTGCACATTCTGCACATGTATCCCAGAACCTAAAATAAAATACAATAAAATAAAAGCAGTCAAGGAAGCCACAACCCCAAAGGACCCTGTGTTTTCTGAGGGCAAAAGCCGTATCTTAGGCTGAGTGTAGTGGCTCACGCCTGTAAGACCAGTGCATTGAGAGGCTGAGGAGGGAGGGTTGCTTGAGGCCAAGAGTTCGAGATCAGCCTGGGCAACATAGGAAGACCCTGTCTCTACAAAAAATAATTAAAAAAAAAAAAAAAAAGCCAGATGTGGTGCAACATGCCTGTGGTCCCAGCTACTCCAGAGGCTGACGTGGGAGGTTCGCTTGAGCCCAGGAGGTAGACGCTGCAGTGAGCCGTGGTTGCACCACTGCACTCCAGCCTGGGCAGCAGAGAGAGACCCCGTCAAACAAAACAAAACAAAACAAAAAAACGTATCTTAATCACTATGGTGTCTTCAGGAGGGCTCCACTGGCAGGTCATCTGTATCACACAGAATTGCAGCTGCGTACACATGTCCAGAGCCAATAAAGCAGCACCTCTAGTAATCTGGCCAGGTTAGCTTAGGGTATCCCTAGAAAAACTCGGAAGGGGGACCTGCGGGACAGGGGCCAGCAGGCACCAGGACGGCACTACCCAGGGGCTCTGTGCCCTGTGGCAGTGATCAGTAAAGAAACAGACATGTGCCAGACTTGGGTCAGCTGTAGAGCTCCTCTGGGCACACCTTTTTTTTTTTTTTTTTTTTTGAGACGGAGTCTTGCTCTGTCACCCATGCTGGGGTGCAGTGGCTTGACTTCAGCTCACTGCAGCCTCCACCTCCCAGGTTCAAGCGATTCTCCTGCCTCAGCCTCCTGTATAGTTGGGATTACAGCTATGTGCCACTGTGCCCAGCTAATTTTTGTATTTTTAGTAGAGATGGGATTTCACCATGGTGGCCAGGCTGGTGTCAAACTCCTGATCTCAAGTGATCCACCCACCTCAGCCTCCCAAGGTGCTGGGATTACAGGCATGAGCCACCATGTCTGGCCTCCTCTGGGAACTTTATTCATCCCTAGAATTTAGGGAGTTGGGGAAAAGCTTTGCCTTGAAATCATGATGTTGGCACCAGATGAAGATGGAGGCGTGAGCCCTACAAGAATAAAAATCAGATCCTCAAAAGAAACCCCCAAGATCAGGAGTTTAGGTTGATTGAGGTAGGGAGCCTCTACCTGACTCCCCTACCATGGGTGGATGTAAATAAAGGGTCAGGGTGTATAAACAGGAGCTTATGCATCTTCACTCTTGTACCTAGGGGCTGGGAGGATTCCAGGACTTACTCCAAGATACTCTAAACAGGTCCTCAACATCCTAGCTGGAGACCAGAGTAGGCGTCTCGGGCTGGGTGACTGGCTGTGGATGAGGATGAGTGGCAGCAGAGACCTCACGCCCACCTCTGGGCTGCAACAGTGCGTGCAGTGGGCTGGGTGGGGAACGGCAGGAAGCAGCTATTTCCACAAGAGCTGGTAAAACTGGTCACTCCTGTTGTGTTTTACAACTGCCTACCTGACAGCTCTGCTTGGGTGTCTAGCCGCCTCAAATATAACCCAGCTAAATCATATCTACTGACTTTTTTTTCTTTTTCATTTTAAATTATTGAGGCAAAATTCACACAACATAGAATTAACCATTCACAAATTTAAAAAAAAAAAAATACAGGGTCTTGCTGTGCTGCCCAGGCTGGAGTGCAGTGGTGTGATCATAGCTCACTTCAGCCCGAAACTCCTAGGCTCAAGTAATCCTCCCGCCTCAGCCTCCCAAGTAGTTGGGATTACAGGCACGTGCCACCACATTCAGCTAATTTAAAAAATTTTTCTTTGTAGAGATGGGGTCTTGCCATATTGCCCAGGCTGGTCTCAAATACCTGGCCTCAAGCGATCCTCCTGTCTCAATCTTTCAAAGTACTGGGATTACAGGTGTATGCCACCATGCCTGGCTAATTATTTTATTTTATATTCTCTAAAGATGGGGTCTTAGGCCGGGCGCGGTGGCTCAAGCCTGTAATCCCAGCACTTTGGGAGGCCGAGACGGGCGGATCACGAGGTCAGGAGATCGAGACCATCCTGGCTAACATGGTGAAACTCTGTCTCTACTAAAAATACAAAAAATTACTGGGTATGGTGGCAGGCGCCTGTAGTCCCAGCTACTCGGGAGGCTGAGGCCGGAGAATGGCGTGAACCCGGGAGGCGGAGCTTGCAGTGAGCTGAGATCCGGCCACTGCACTCCAGCCTGGGCGACAGAGCGAGACTCCGTCTCAAAAAAAAAAAAAATAAATAAAAAATAAAGATGGGGTCTTGCCATGTTGCCAAGGTTGGTCTTGAACTCCTGACCTCAAGTGATCCGCCCACCTTGGCCTGGGATTACAGTGTGAGCCACAATGGCCAGCCAGAATTACCATTTTTAAAATGAACAATTCAGGCCAGGCGTGATAGTTCACATCTATAATCCCAGAACTCTGGGAGGCCAAGGTGGGCAGATCACTTGAGGTCAGAAAATCGAGACCAGTCTGGCCAACATGGTGAAACCATCTCTACTAAAAACACGAAAATTAGGCCAGGCACGGTGGCTCAACGCCTGTAATCCCAGCACTTTGGGAGGCCAAGGCCAGCAGATCACGTGGTCAGGAGATCGAGACCATCCTGGCTAACATGGTGAAACTCTGTCTCTACTAAAAATACAAAAAATTACTGGGTATGGTGGCAGGCACCTGCAGTCCCACCTATTCAGGAGGCTGAGGCAGGAGAATGGTGTGAACCAAGGAGGCGGAGCTTGCAGTGAGTCAAGATTGCGTCACTGCACTCCAGCCTGGGCGAGAGAGCTAGACTCTGTCTCAAAAAAAAAAAAAAAAAGAAAGAAAGAAAGAAAGAAAAAAAACCCACAAAAATTAGCTGGGCTTGGTGGCGAGTGCCTGTAATCCCAGCTACTCAGGACGCTGAGACAGGAGAATCGCGTGAACCCTGGAGCGGAGGTTGCAGTGAACCGAGATCTCACCATCGTACTCCAGCCTCACTTCAGGTAACAAGAGTGAGACTCCATCTTAAAAAGATAAACAGACAAATAAATAAATGAATGAATAAATAAATAAATAAATAAATAAAATAAAATAAACAATTCAGGCCAGGCACGGTGGCCCACACCTGTTATCTTAGAACTTTGGGAGGCTGAGCTGGGAGGATTGCCTGAACTCAGGAGCTCAAGACCAACCTGGGCAACAAGGCAAAACCCCGTCTCTAATAAAAATACAAAAAAATTAGCCTGGGGTAGTGGTGTACACCTGTAATCCCAACCACTGGGAAGGCTGAGGCAGGAGAATTGCTTGAACTTGGGACACGGAGGTTGCAGCGAGCCAAGATCATGCCACTGTACTCCAGCCTGGGTCACAGAGTGAGACTCTGTCAGACAAACAAACAAACACACACAATTCAGTGGCACTTAGTAAATATACAATGTTGTGTGACCACTATATCTAGTTTTAAAACATTTTTACCACCCAAAAGGAAACCACACACTTGTTAAGCAGCTCCCAGTCCAAGGCAACCACCAATCTGCTTTCCATCTCTGGATTTGCCTGTTCTGCACATTTCATATACATGGAGTTGTGCAATACGTGACCTCTTGCATTGGTGTCTTTCCCTCTACATGGGGTTTTGAGGCTTCTCCGTGTCATAGCCTGTGTCAGTGCCTCATCCCGGATGTGGCCATATCATATTCCACCGTGTAAATGCCAAGCTTTGTTGATTCATTTGTCTGTTCATGGCCACCGGGCTCCTGTGAGTGCTGCTATTGTAACCGTGCAGTGGGTTTATTTATCCCACTTCCCAGAAAGAGCCAATTTATCAAGACAGGGGAATTGCAATAGAGAAAGAGTTTAATTCATGCAGAGCTGGCTGAACAGGAGACTGGAGTTTTATTATTACTCAAACCAGCCTCCCCAGAATTCAGAGGCTAGGAGATTTTTCAAGGATAGTTTGGGGGGCCTGGGAATGAGTGCTGCTGGTTGGTTGCAGATGCAATGACAGAGGTGATAGTCTTGTTCTGGGTGAGGCCACAGGACACATTGGCAGGTTCAGGTGGAGCCATCAGCTGTCAGAAATGCAAAACCCTGGCTGGGCGCAGTGGCTCACACCTGTAATCCCAACACTTTGGGAGGCCAAGGCAGGCAGATCACAAGGTCGGGAGACCAAGAACATCTTGGCCAACACGGTGAAATCCCGTCTCTACTAAAAATACAAAAAAAAAAAAAAAAATTAGCCGGGTGTGGTGGCACACACCTGTTATCCCAGCTACTCTGGAGACTGAGGCAGGAGAATCACTTGAACCTGGGAGGTGGAGGTTGCAGTGAGCTGAGGTCGGGCCATTGCACTCCACCCTGGGCAACAAGAGCAAAACTCCACCGCAAAAAAAAAAAAAAAAAAAAAAGCAAAATCCTGAAAAGATATCTCAGAAGGCCAATCTTAGGTTTATGTGTACACATCAGCAGAACTCAGGCTCCTCTCATCCTCCTAACTTGGTAGTCTTTAAATTAGCCTTATGATGGCAGTTCAGTTTTGGAGAAGGGCTATTATCATTTAAACTATAAACTAAAAGTCTCCCAGAGTTAGCTTGGCACAAGTCCAGGAATGATAATGGGCAGTTTTGAGGTTAAAGACAAGATGAGGCGTTTCGCTTGAGCCCATGAGGTTGAGGCTGCAGTGAG